TACTCAGAAGTCTTGTTATACAATTTGTATTACCGGTATTAAACACGGTGATTACATAATAAATTAATAATATATCTAAAATCTTGTTTACACCTGTTGGGTAACAGCCTAGCTGATAAAGTAAATTGTTAATTTTTCCATTAGTTTGAATGTGGACACATTCAGTGACGTAATTTGGGTATAATATCAGGGGTTGCACAAATTACTCAGGATGCACAGACTTGTGGGGGCTTAGAAACAAACAACAATATAAAAACAAATAATACAATTATATTATTATATATTAAGAATTGATATAAAATACATGATAAACTTGGTACATATTTTTAAAACTGATTTAAATCACATAATCTTTTACAATTAGTATACAAAATTCAGAACTTTCAAACTTTAACTGTTTCGTTTTTCTTCTCTTTTTTAATGTATTTATAGTAATGACAACATTTTTTAGTTATTTCAATATTTGTTACACTATTTTTTCACTTTTTATTAATACTAAAATATTCCATAATTTACCTCAAATAATATAATAATAGTTATTCAAATATTATAAGTAAAAATACAATGACAGAAAAGTTAGATATAAAAATTGATTTATTTTTATTTATAAGTTTATAATAGTGAAATTGTGAATTGTGAATTGTAACCAATTATATTTCTTTGGTGGATTATTGATAATATATAATTTTAATTTCATAATTTTCGAACATGTTTTTTTTCATAATTAAATAATTACTTATTTATTTTAATTTGTTTTACTTACGGAAAACCATAAATACAAAATTTTCGAGGGTTGCAAATCAATACTTTAGCCACCTCCCAATTACGCCATTGAACATTTTATTACGTTATTACATTATCCCAGTTCAGACTTTACTATTTTAGTAAAAATTGTAATCAAGTTGCTAACAAACAGGTTGTTATTTTCTATTTTTCTATTTTCTCGATCGAGTTGGAATTGATATTTACATACATTATTGCTACTTAGCCTTTAGATTTAGTCGAATACTTATCCTATCATTGAGTTATAGGTATAATTTTTTAAAGGTACTATTCCTAATCAATATTGCGCGTGTTCGTAGTACTTTTTTAATTTTTTTTTTTCAATTGTATTTATTTCCAACAAAAAAATAAATCCATGCAATCATAAATAAATAATAAATATGAACCATAAATTAATTAAGATACTATATTGAAGATTATGGAAAAATATCAATAGTATTGATTGCCATTAGTTTAAATGGAAATAAGCATGTGTACACTTACGATTTGATTTTAAATTTGTTATTGGACATTGCAATTTAGTTCCACTCCACAATGAACTACGTATAATTTAACTACTATGTTTCGAGACAATAACTGAACGCAATTTACTACTTGATTTCACAACTCTTTAGTGACTCGGCCGAGCACAAAATATGTACATCTGAGCACAATCTAAGTATAATTGCTCTCCCTCACCTTTACCTTATCCTTTTTTTTTTTTTTTATCGAACATGTTTAAAAATAATCGAACACGTCGTGTTGTCGTGTAATCTACTGCGAAAATGTATTTCTGTTCACGTTGTTGTCCCGCGTCTCGGTTTGATAAGTCGAATACGATTGTAATAATATTATGATAACAATTAATCATTTAACACAAGTGTAGTTGTCGGTGGGCTGTGTGGTACGACAGACTGTTGTGCGGCGGAGTTGTTATAACACCAGAAACACGATCGAAATTTGTATTTCTTATAGGATCTGATTTTCTGAATGCAGTGAGTAATGTATTGGTTTTACTATGTGTACTTTTTTAAATTGTTTTGTGTATATGAACAATTTTTCTACTAGAAATTTTGCTCCGATGTATCAAGTATGAAGGTTATCAAAGTGTATTACCTTTTTTGAAATGAAATTTCACCCAGTTAGTGATGCATTGTTATGTTCATGGTCATCATTTTTTGATTTTCTAAGGAGTTTTCATAATAATTGGGAAAACTTGGAACAAAAATTGTCGGAAAAATGGTAAATAATATTAAAGGCGTGCCTCGGCGTTACCGATTTAATTGTTTTCAATTTTTTCAAACTATGTTTTATATTAAACACCAGGTGACCCATTTAAGTGGATAGACTTATCTCGGAAAGTATTAACCTTTTTCGGAATTAATTTTTTAGAAAATTTAAGAAACAAGCTGCTCTACAATTTTATATTTATGTTATTTTTTGTCATCCTTATTTTGGGGCGTAAAATCACTACCTACTTTTGATTTTTAAATGACAACCCATGTTAAAATTTCCTTAATTAGGGTATTAGTTAAAATACATTTTAGTGTTAAAATTTTAGATTTCCGTCAATCCGTTAATGAGATATTCCAATTTTAAGTTTTGATTGGAGGAGAGTGGTTCATTATTCTACTCCAACCAAAACTTAAAAGAGGAATATCTCATCAACGGCTTTACAAAAATCAAAAATGTCAACACTAAAATATATTTTAACTAATACCCCGTCTATATATGGACTTTTTAATATAGGTTGCCATTTGAAAATTAAAATTAGGTAGTGGTTTTACCTTCAAAAATAAGAGTGACAAAAAAATAACATAAATATAAAACTGTAGAGCTGCTTGTTTCTTAAATATTCTAGAAAACAAATTCCGAAAAAAGGTAATACCGAGATAATACCGTGTATCCATGGATCACCTGGTAGATTGCTTTTATCAAAAATTGCCAACTGACCTTTTTTGTTGCGTTCTGAATTTAGATGGTCACGAAAAAAGTAGGTTTTTGATTTTTTTAAGTAATAATAATTGAGAACCGGAAAAAGACAAAAAATAAAAACTGACATTTTACGACGTTACGTTTATTTAAAATTTTTACTGCTTATGTTGTCTATCGGAAATTTTGTTCTGCAGAAAATTTACGAAAATAATGCTTATATTATTATTTTCATTTTCATTTTTTTTTTTTTTTTTTTAAATTTTAATTCAGTTTCAAACTTTCACAGAGATTTGACATTTGGACAGAAATCTCATATTTGTTTTTTCTAGTCGTGGTAAAATTTTCATAAATTTTAAGCTTTTTATAGATTTTATTTTTCCAGTTTTTCACGTAATTTTTATTCGGTAGGTACTCTGTAGAGAAAATTGTTTGACTAAACCAAAAGCTTGACAATTTATCAGGAGGTTCATTATAAGTTGGACTTCGTAGTCAAAAAGAAAAAGTTGAGTTTAATGAAATTTTTTTTAAATAAGAATTTGTTTATTAAATTTTGACAAAAATCGTAAATATTGTGGTCTTTTAATGCATGTGTAATCGAACTGCGTACAGAATCGTTTTTCCTTAGCAATGATTACTCGATGGCGTATAAAAATGTATTATATTCTCTATATTCTACCTTCCCAACTTCTCTCACCTGCAACAGTGGCCCATACGATAATTATCATGCGAAGTATGTCCATCCTTTTTTTTGCATGTTATCATAATTTTTAAATATGTTTAAATGAACTGAACTTCACTCAGAATCATATTTTGCCTGCAATGATTTATCGTAGCGTATTAATAAAAATAATATAACATTATGTATCCTACTTTCTCAACTTTTCATTGACAACAGTTGCACACCAATCAACAATATTAGCTCTTTATTATTTTTTAAATTTTTTTTAGGTTTTTCTTATAAACAATCGATCCCACCACCCTCCCGGTCGTGTTAAAATACCGTAGAACTGTATTATAGTATATACAAAAATAATAATAATATGTTGATAGTAGCTTTATAACTACATATCTGTATGATCCCAAGCTTCTCCTATTGGAATTTTGTATCCAATATAATTGGTTGATGATCGACCGAAATTGGTGGGTTATCTTAGTAACTGTTTAAAAACAAACGTCAAGAACATTCCTTAATACTTCAATATCTTGGCTTTGGTTTTTAAAATTCAAATCCTAATTGTTTTATAATATTATTATCGTACCTATACCCATAACAATAATTTACATTTGTCTTTGGTTACGCCAACGAAAACAAACATATATCTAAGTGTAAGCGTAAAATATAATATTATGTATTGTTACCATATTTACCACAAAAATGCATATATTACAATTACTATAATAATATATAGTATATTGCGTAGTATTCTGTGTACTGTATCTCGTTCGCTTTCATCCTAACTATTTGGGGTCTGCCACCCTCGTTCTAAACTTCTACCTGCCCCGCCTCACATTACACCGGCTGTCCTCATTCTCAATCGCGTCCAACCGCCACTTTTTTTTCGGTCTTCTTCTCCACCTCTTTCCTCCTACGTTGTATTCCAATAATTCTTTTTGCTTATTAAAAATAATAACTTGGCGACGGCTGTCGCGGCACTATAGTAGTAGGTACCTCTACTACTATACAGTAAGTTGTGTTGTGATAGTTCGTAGTAGGCGGCGTGGTTTTTTTAATATGTTTTTTTCGTTTTCGTTTTCTCCTCCGTCGTGCGCGCACAGCGCTAGCGTGTTTGGCGGCCCCCGTTCGTTTGGTCGCCTCTCCGAGCCGCGCCGTCCTATATTGGCGGGCGCGCGCGCGCACAGCACCGCGCACCGGACACCACTACTTTGCGCCTGAGTGTAAACTACAACACGCAAGACGTGACCACATAAACTGCGCGCCAGTTACGTCCGGACGAACCGTCGCGCCGTACGCGTTTGTGCTCGCTCGATTATCGCCGTCGCCGTCGTCGTTGTCGTCTTCGTCACACACATCAAAAATAATATCGTATTATTTTCCGCATGATACAACACCGATAAAATAACGTTCGTGTTGCGTCGTGTGTGTGTACGGTACGAGAATCCGTGCGAAACGCACACACGAGAGAATCGCCGCCGCCGTCGCTGTTTTTTCTCCCGTACTGTGTGTGTGTGTGTGTGTACGAGTGCGCGTCCCCGTTCGGCGTGCGTGTGCGTCGGTGGTTCGTGTGTGCGTCGTTCGTTCGGTCGGTTGGTGCGAGTGCGCGCGCGGTCGCCGTCGTACGAAAATGGCGTCATCGTCGCGCGACAACGGCGAACCCGGGAAATCGACGACGAACCATAAGTATTCGTCGAGAATCGTAAGTAAAAATTTGCACCCGCCTAGTCGGGGCGGCGGTCGGCTTGCGCGGTTCGTACCGTCTGAAAGAAAACAAATTCCTTGTTGAGTAAAAAAAAAAAAAAAAAAAACCAAAATCAAAATCGATCCCTCGGTTTTCTTCTCGTCATCGCGTCGTCTTGGGTTTTATAATTTTTCCGTTTCCGATCTCTACGATATTGAACTGTATACGTTGTATTGTGTTTCGCTTTGGATTCCTGTATATTTTTTTAATCGCTTTTTTTTTTATACGTCCACGAACCGGATCTTTGTTTTATTGGTTATTCGCAACGCACGCGGGCGGATTATCATGTTTTATTTGTTTTTTTTTTTTTGTTTTTTTCTGTAGAAACGAGCTTATCAAGATAATATTTTATTTCCTGCACGATTTCGGTGGATTATACTTGCCGTTCGATTCTAAAAATGTATTATCCTTAGCTCCTGTCGATATCATTATAATCGATATACACTCGCGCACACCTGTTAGTAGTTTTGTTTAGGAGAATACACACGCGTGCGCACGTCGTTGCTCTGCCGTTTATTTTTCATTTCATAGGTTAGTAAAACGCCCGCCGGAAACGTTACGAAAACACAAATTTTGTTTGGTTTCAAAACGTAGCACCCACTCGATTAACGCGCGATTTGTTATCTCGACGTGTCAAATATAATATTATTTACTCGTATCAGCAATGTGTTTACGTTCGTCCGTGTTCAAATTCAAATGGTTATTCGTGTTGAGCTCGTTTTCGTAGCGTTCACTGCGTTTTCGTTTAAAATAAATCGTATTATTTTTTTTTCTGATTTCGATTGTATCCTCCCGTCGATCAATATTAAATCACTATTCGTTTTTTATTCTCGTTCGAAAATTATTGCATTGCACGGATATATATATATATATATAAGTGAATACGTATAGACGTAAATAGTCTGAAAATACATAGGGCTTCGATTAGACGACTCGGGAAGGGCTAAATCCTCCTAAGCCCCCCCCCTATTTACGTCTCTGCGAGTACTAGCTATTCGAATCCTTCGGGGGACAGTGACTCGCGGTATCGTGTGCTAAAATTAACTGTACACACTGACACTGGACTGATCGCATCGTTACTATTATTCGCATTAAACAATTATTATTCATTAGGTACATACGAACGTGTGGCATTAATAACGCAAGGTCTTGTAAATTTAAATTTGTTTGACAATTTAAATTTTAAACAGAGATCGCTGCAATATTAAAATATCTTAAGGTTGTACTCAGACACGTACACCAAAAAAAATTCGTGGGAGGAGGTTCATAAATCATTTACAATAATCAATATTATCAATATTTATAAAAAAAAATATATTAAATTTATATAAATAAATTAGACAACTAAATTTTCGGGAAGGAAGGGAGGTAGACCTCCCCCTCCTCTGTATATGTGCTTGGTTGTACTAGACAATATTCTAAATTATTAAACGTTTGTATGAATTGAGTTAGAAACGTTAAGAAAATTTAAATTTAAATATATCTACTCTGATTTCTAAGTACCATTTTAGGATTTATAAATACTACTTTAGGATTTCTAAGTTTCCAATCTCACATTCAACCCTCCGCTCTTCTCTATCCGTTGCTCTTTCGTGTACCAGTTCGAACCTCAGCCTAGTCACCCGTTACGTTCCGAGTAGTTTTCGTCCGGATTCTGCTTCATCCTACCGCTTTATTTACTCATTCTAACTTCTATAAGCATGCACTGGATATGCCGCCCATTACAATTTTTTCCTCCTTATACCAGGTAATTATATATCTTATAAATAGTCGACGAAATATTCGCTCTTTTATCATAACTTCCGTTTTGTAAAGTAAAAAAACGCATTCGCCCGGTTTACAACGGAGGAAGTGTCCTCGGGAAATTGCCGACAAACGAACACGTTACGCGAAATCAATACATTGTTATACCTATTAGGTGTTATTAAATGATAATTTACACGCAGCAAGAATACCAAACGCAACATTGCAGTTAAGTTATTCTCGAGATCGAAACATCGTGCCGGCTTATACCTTACGACGTTTCAGATAGCAGCATTACGCGGTCGATAGTATTATTTTGTATTATTTGTTTAAACGACCGCTATTATAACATAGTGGTGTCGGTGTGCTTGGGCATAGAACTAAATCGAAACGTGAGCGATTTTACGCTCCGTCGTGGTGCGCTGTTTTTTTTTCATATTTTTTGTTCACGAGCCGGCCAGCTAGACGGACGAGAACGACAACCGCGCGCTCGGTCGCGATGCTCGGTCGTCGACTGGCGGCGGCGTGTACTCGACCGACGTGGTCGCGTATTGAAAACAATTCGGTTTATTATGGTAATTACCACGCCGAACACGTGACGGTCGTCCAAGTAAAATCCCGTGCCGCGCGAGCTCTCGTTGTCTCCCGTTCAGCGGTGCGTTTACCGTGTCGAACAATGTTCAGTGTTTCTCAACTTCGGTCCGCACGGCGATAGTGGCTACCGGGACATTCGACATCACCACTGCGATAGTAACCACTATCACTAGTTAGCAACTATTGAACTATCGCTAAATCTGCTGTCGTGATACTATCGCACATGCACGGTGGCTGTTAGCTTTATAACATTTTATCGTAACTATTACAGTTTGCGGACACGGTCGTTTCTATTTCACTGTTGTGAGTCGTAACGACACTTTCACGAACGTATTTCTATCGATATTCACCGTGTCTAATATAATTCACTATACTATATCATGCGGACGCTATCTTATATGATAATAAAATATCGCGGTAAAAACTCATCGTTTAGCTCTTACACGCTTTTTTTTCTGGCATCATAACTCTTCGAGAGTTTGTCACCAACGACAACGCCTTCCAATTCATCACTAGGTGTACCTACCGCTACTTTCTCCAGGTCTTGTTTCACCCCTAAAACCGTTCAGCTGACGTTCTCCGGGTCTTCCCATTAGGTTTCCACCCCGTCAGATGCCTTTGAAGGTTCACCAATTCCGGTTCCTCGGCACATGTCTGGAATCTCCTGGATAATTTTCCTTTCACGCCAGCACCCCAGTTGATTATATTGTACTAAACCCGGATAATAGTCAGTATTCCTAACCTTATTACACTACTCGGACCACTTGGATTTTTTGGAAATTATTTTTCTGTTTTTAAATCATTTCTCAAACCCTATACTCTTTCAAATATTTTAAAATAAATTCGAAATGCTTTTATTTTTTCTATAGAATTTAAATTTTTTTCTCATATATTTAGAAAAAAAAAAAGAAGATATATATATAGAAGTGCGAGAATTAACACTTAAGTATAGAGTTTTTTTTAGTGTTAACCAGAGACTAAGCTAATTGTTATTAATTATAGATAAAATGCGATTTTTATGAAATTGTGTAGTCAAAATCGCAAAATTTAATGAATAATTGGTTTTATTATTATTTTTTACCAGAATTTTTGTTACCCCTAGGCGACTGTATGTTAATTTTTTTTTTTATCGATTGATGATGCTGCAGAGCTACTCATGGACTGACTAAATTATATGTTTATAATAATATTATTATTCTATTGTAACAATACCGTGTACCCTAGCATGTACTTATACATACTGTCATAAATACATTTTTATATGAATAATACATAATTATAAAGGAATTGACTACCGATTAAAAAATCGTATTTAGTTATAGTACCTAAGTACCTCACTACCTAAGTAACCTATTTATTATTAATAATTTTTAAAACGTTAAAAAAGTGTTCTTTTTTATTTTTTTTATACCAATCATAATAACGACAATCTCGACGACCTACGAGTAAATACGTATACGATGTCGGGATATTGCTATGTTTTCGTCGATATCGGGGGCGGTTCCTACATGCATTATCAATGTTTGATCGTAGGACACGTATGCCATCTGCATCTGTATAATACTGTCGAAGGATTTCTATCGATTTTTTATTCTTCTGTAAACATAATATCGAGACGTTCGTCAAGTACTTGTACTTATAATACTCTCTCGTGCCTATAATTGCAGTTTTTTTTTATTATGCCGCCGCCGGTAACGTCGAATTAAACGTAGATGTACTACACCGTCAAATTCCGATTGGCACCGACCGTTGCCGAGTTGCAATTTTCGGGGTCACCTCTCTTTCTCTTGGCTGCAGTCGAGTATATCGGTTGACCCTATTCTTTTTCTATTTTATCGAACTAGATGAATTATTATAATTTCTTTATAGAGTTCATAATTCTTATTCAGTGGTGTGTAGGTGTAGAATTTCATTTAAGGGAGGGAGGAGGTTTTAGAGTCAAGATCAAACTGAAATTTGGTCTATACTTCCAAAACACTAACTAGCACTAAGTTTGTTCGGTGAACAATATTTACCAAAAGGTTCCGTTAGGTTTTCAAGAAATAAAATGTTTGTTTGGTCAAGTATGTTTAAACGTTTAATAACGTAAAGTTTTTAGTTAGTTTAAAGCGATTATGTTTTTCATACATTTATTAATCTAATGAGATAAAGTAATATAAACATAATGCCAGTAGTCTAATTTATGTTTTGAAAAATGATTCGACTTCGTATGTATTTTATATTTTCTTAGAGAAATAAGAGATTAATAATTAGATGTATGTTTTTTTATTATTATTATTTTTTTTTTTTGTGACTAAGTTTATTTTTAAAAAAAGGTAAAATTATTGTGCACTAAACAAAAACGAACAAATGTTTCCTACATAACATACGCCGAAAATCGAATAATTCAAATATGTTTCCATAATTGGAATTTTATTCCAACTTATATTATCCAGTCTATAACGTTGTATTTGTTCGTAAAATTAAAAGTAGGGAGTGGTTTTACCATTAAAAATAAGGTGACAAAAAATAATATGAATATAAAACTGTAGAGTTGCTTGTTTCTAAAATGTTCTAGAAAACAAATTCTGAAAAAAGTTAATACTCTCCGAGGCAATGAATATACCCACTTGGATACCCAATGGATCTGGTATAATATACCTGGTATAACTAATTGACAATATTACACAAAATATTTTATATCATATTATTATTGTCTATCACTAAATAAATCACACGCGCACTGAGTTAATAATGCCTATACTATAGGGCGTGGGCTATCAAGAGTACAAAAATTCATCAAATCTTTTTGATTCCTAGACTGACAATCTTGTCAAATTTGGTAATTGTTATGGATAATTTGGTGTTATACGAATAAACATTTTTTGGTCCGGCAAAAATACTCGAAAATTTAACACGATATTCATCATAAGATGTACATATTTAATTAGGGAAAAAATGGAGTATAATAATATGTAGTACCTATCAGTCTTGTAAAATATAATTTTCAAGTGGTAATTAAATACAGATACTAATACACATTCATTTCAAATGTATTTAAATAATTTTTTTTATTTTAATTTAATAGTTAATTCAAATAGGTTTGCAAAATTAATTTTGAAATTTTTATTTTAAAAATTCAATAATCAACTAAGTGCCTATATTATTAAAACTTTATGCCACTTACTTTATTTTATACTGAAAAATGAAAATCAATAAAATGTGCTCTATAGTGTATATTAATTCTAAAATAATTTTATATGTTGAATGAATTAAACTATCGTTAATGAAATAAAAATTATACATTTATCATGCCATAATAATTCCCAAAATGTTTTTTTCAAAGAGTTAAAAAGAAAATATTTGTTGTGAGCATGCGGGTAGTTATTTTCTATTTCATTTGTCACTACACTGTCAGTTTGCGTTTGTCTGACGGGATATAAATTATAATTGTATTATTTTATTACTTTAAACATTAATTAAAAACACGGAATTTTCAATTCTTGATTTAAGAAAAGTATTTACATGGATGCATTTGAAATTCAAAAACAAATACGTCCAAGATAGTATTTAAAATACTTAATTCAAAAAGTATTCCAAATACTATACAAGCAGTGACGTAACTAGGGGGGGTTGTGACCCCCCAAAATATGTTTGCGAGTTTTTACGAATTCTATGTAGTACATATTTGTATGATTTATATACCAATTTGAAACATAATCTAGTATAAATAAATGATAACTGCTACGGCGTGGTTTTGGTTATAACTACATGTCAGGTTACAAATTACAAGTATAACAACAACAATAATAATAATATTATTTCATCAACTCAATGGTTTATACTCTATGTTTATAACTTATTACAAACATGTTCAGCGTTTGGTTTTATATTATCGGCATAGTATTATTATCAATATATATATATCAGAATAACCAGGTACTATAAATTATAAGTTATCAGTTAAATGTTCCAATTTAATTATTCATATTTAATATTGTAACTTATTAAGTTGTAAATTGTTTATAATTATCATTACGAATTAAAAATTGTATTTAAAATGAAGAAATAAATAAAAGAATTTTATAATTTTTCAGAAAATAAAATGATTACCATGGTATACTATGACTTACTATAGCAAAGTATATTTTAATACATACTTAATACGATTCTAATTGTTTTCCAATATGTGTTATCTATAAATGAAAGTTAAAAGATTTAAAGATTTTACTCATAAACCTAACTTTACCCTTACCATCCCACTTCGCCAAATTTCATCCGAAATTGAATTTTTTCAAATTCATACCTCCCCTCCTAAAAAAACCTGGTTGTGCCACTGCATACAAGTATTTAAATGTGTTTGCCCAAAGACTTTTACTCGAACACCTACCTACCTAGTTTTAATTGTTTTAAGTTAAATTTTGACTAAAATTGTAAACCACGGTATATTTAAACACTTTTACCTGAACTTTCTTTAGAATCGGGAGCGAACTGGGAGAAGTTCGGCAATACTATCTATATTGGTATTATTAATTTAACTTTAAATTAATATAAAGGTGTGTAACTATACTAACTAATAAGAAGTAACATAATAAAGATACCATACAGTCGAACAAATTTAACATTTATTTAAATTTGTGTCATCAAATATTTATGTGATGATAATAATGTAAAATATAATTAAACAAACTACAGTTAGATACTTATTTAAATACAATGTATAATTTGTTAATAATATTAATTTTTTTTTTTCATCAAATATTCTTATTCTCGTGATATTGTGTTTCCTAAAGCTTAATAATGTTCCTCAATTTTTTCAAAATTTTTAGGAGCATTGTTTTTAGGAAAAATCGGAGTTTTTCTTTTTAAAATACAAATAATAATTTTTAAGGTTTTAACAATTATCCAAAAAAAAAAAAAAGCTACACTATTATTTTTTTCAGATTAATTATTCTAAATTTTACTACTCATTTCAGGCCTTTAAAATTAAATTATTTGATAATTTTGATAAATCAACCCATTTTAGCCCTTAAATATTTGTTTTAGTGGTTGAAAATATTTTTAACTTATTTCCCAAGGAATATGTTTGATTTACATTAAGTATAAAAGATATTGCTATGATAAGTTATATATTATTGATAATAATGAGAATATTATTTATGAGCTTTTTAACACTGAGCAAATTGATATAAAAATAATATTGTTTACCAAAATTTGATCTGTTTAGTTTAAAAAAAATATTATATCCTATCCTACTCAGGGTTAGGAGTAATTATAAATGATTGTGCTTGTGTTTCTGTTTACTTACACATAAATTAATTGTATCAGTGTATATGTATATTAGTGGATGTTATAGATATATTTTTAATGCAATTTTGGAAAATTTTAATTTTTGTCCCTAACCTAAATAAATTGCAATTTACAATTATTACCCCTTGATTTCGGGGAAAATTTAAGATATAAGGAAATCATGACATTGTGTATGGGGCAAATAAACATGAATATTTTTCACTTTTTTCAGCCAACTTTTTGTAAATGATAACAGAAAAGATATAACTTCTTAAATGCTTCAATTAATATGTTTCATAGAAGAAAATATATTAAATAATACTGTTATCAAGTTCAATGGTTATAAATTATTTATTTTATCAGTATATTAGCTTCATTTACAATTATTCCACCTGATTCAATATAATGACAATTAATTAAATTTTTTTCCTATTAATATAAATCGAAAACAATGTTGCTACATATAACAAATCTTGTATCATTTATTTAATTTTTATCATTTTCAAATTTTTTTTTTGTATGCAATATTTTTCTTAAAACCAAAATACTATTCTCGCCAACAAAATTAGTAAACTGCTCGTTTATTTTGATTAAAAATTCTGAACAAAAGTGAGGAATATTTTAGAGCTTTAGGTGAACACAATATCACGATAATATGAATTTCTAATAAAAATGAAAAAAATTCTGAAACGCACGAATGATATTTTAGTTTTTACGATTTTTTGAAGTTTTAGCAAATATGAATATATGAATATGTGAATATTACAATATTTAATCAGTTATTACTGTTATTAATCAGGGCACATGACAAGGTTTTTTTTTCCACGAGTTAATATCGTGCTATAATATTATCATATTATAGATATTAGGTAGTATCAATCAGTCAATAATGGTAATTCAAATTTTCAAAAAATCTATTTTCAAAATGGCTATTTTAAATTTTTTTTTTTTTAAATTATATTAACTTTTTTATCTTAAGTCTACCTTCCCCTAAAAGATTTGTCCAATCCTTATGGTACACCCTCTATACCTAATATATGAACTTATTATTTTTTGTTAATTAAAAATATATTGTAGATAATTTTACAACAGTTGTAACTAAATATTGGGTTTATACTGGAAGTAGGCAATACATTAATAATTAGTAATATTTATTTACCTACTTTAAATATTTTTTTGAGTTTACAATAATCATTAACAAAATTATTTTTCATAGAAAAATTGATGAATCGATTGATATTTAGTAGAAGCAATGAAAACAATTTAAATTTTTGTGAACATTAAAAAAATAAAAATAATCGATTTTCCAATAATAAAAAAAAATAATAATAACAATTTTGTTGATGATTTTTTTTAAATTTTAAAATATTGTTATAAAATTATATTATATTTATATAAAATGGCTATCTTGTATTTTGTAAAAACAATTTTTTAAATAATTGTAATTTTTAGTTTTAATAAAAGTAAAAATCACTATATAAAAAAATAGAATCATAACGCAAAGCTTAAGTATCTAATTATTAAAAAACATAAAAATATTGAATACAACACAAAAGTTATTGCGTTCGGTCAGATCTCTGTGGGACAGTCAGTACAATAATGGTTGACACTTACCTACAATTTGGTAATGGTAAAGTACAAAATATTCCTTTGTTTCTGAATCATTCAGATTAGGTACTTTTATCAGTTAAGTATTAGTATTATTATTAACTCTTGACTGTTCATTTAGTCAAAAATAATTACTATTTTAACCCGTGTAACTGACAATTAATTTTTGACATTCAATTATATATCCAAGGCGATATATATATATATATATATATATAATTATTCATCTATAATTTATGTTTGTACTAAATTACTTTTATTAAAAATATGTTTAAAGTCAATCAAGAAATATTTGCAATTATTCTTAAAAACAATAATTATATAGGTCTAGTAACAATTTATTATTATTATTTTTTTTTTTTTTTAAATTACCTCAAGTCTAATAAATTCATTTTCTGTTTCATTCAAACGATATCAAGAGCTTTCGTATTTCAAATTCTTATAACTCCTTAAGAGACATTTGTATACGTTTATAAAAATCTAAACAATTGTATATTACCATGGGTGAATCAAAATCAAATGCCCCTAATAATACTATTTTTTCGGTCCAAATTTTAAATTATAAAAATAATTGGGTTTTGTAAACATTCTTAAGATTTATATTTTAATGTTTTGATAATGACCACCAACATAATTATACAGATATTTATACTTTTTCTATACTGGATGTCATATTTTCCTTATATGTTCAAAAATCGAATACGTAATATTTAAATGAATTAACAATGGAAAATCAACGACATGATGAGCTTATTCGAATATTTTGTATACTGTTTGAATTTAAAACGAATACGTTCCAATTTAAACAAAGTATAGGTACAACGTAAAACCTACATAGTATCTACATAGGTTTGCAAATGTTGTAATACATTTTTGTCAGGACCGAGTGTTATCACCAAAGTAAATCACTTATGAATAGCTAGTATGTGTATCAGATTCCAGAATACTATGATTTTCCCAACGATTATCAAGATTTCCTAAAGATTACCAAAAATTTCCTGTAAGGTTACCAAACATTTGTACATATTTTCCCGTTAATGATTTGCGCTCTGGTTATCACTGTCATAATATTAACTATCACTATTGTTGGGAATTATCGATATTTGTGTTATATTTTAAACAATGTGCGAGCGTGCTAATTTCCCGGTTTTTAAATGTATTTTGTACAGTTAATTGTACCATTTTGAAAGAATTTGGTAACCTCATGCATATATGCCCAAATCATTTTAATATTTTAATTTTTAAATAATTCTAATTGTATTTTTAAAATTCTTACGAAAATTATATTTTGGTACTACTGTATTTGGTTGTTTTACAATGATGTCATTTTATTTTTTTGCGCTGCTTATAAAATTTTCGCCATAAATCTCGCTCCGAGTGTAGGACATTTTCTGAGAAAATTTTATCTAGTTAATACTTTAGGGCTGTAATTTTTTTAAGAGGTTTTCATAATTATTGGGGAAGGGGGGGAATAAAAACTGATAAATTAATTAAAACTATTACTTAAATAGAAAAGAACAAGAAACCTTTTAGTTGCATTTTTAATGTAGTTGATGAGTAAGAATGAGTAAGATGAGTATGTAAGTCGTTTTCTGTGGCTTTTTTTTTTTTTCTAAATAATTGAGCAAAACCGAACAAGTTTAGAAATAACTTGGAAATTTGGCGGAGGGGGAATTTATGAAAATAATGATGTATCATTTTCAATTTTGTTTTTTGTTTAATTCAATTAAATTGTTTGCAAAGACTAAGAAATTTGGTACAAAACTATTATATTCGCCTTTTTTTTAGACGTAATAACATTTTCATAACTAGTGCTATTTATAAACATTTTAATTTTGAGAGTTTTGTACGTAATTTTTATTCGGTACTCAGTATACTCAGTGGTTAAAATTGTTAGACTAAACAGAAATACTTGAAAATTCAACACCACGTTTATTATAAGTTTTACTTTATAACTAAAAAAAAAAAAAATTGAGTAATGTAGTATTATTATTTTTTTTTTATATGAATTTTAATATCAAATTTTTACGAAAATCGTACGGCCTAAACGTAAAATTACGGCCTTTCAAAATGAGTTTAACGGAACTTCTCTTCGAATCATTGTCGTTAGCAAATTGTTTATTGTTACTTACGAATAAACATAAATTAAACAACCAAATGTATCTATCTTCCCAACTTCCAAGTGGTAAGTCATGTAAATTTTGCTCCAATCTAAAAATGTCAATATACCTTGTTATTTAATTTTTAATCCAGTCGGTGATTGTGAAAGTCATTTTTTAATTTTCCAAGCAAAACAAAATTCTTTGGCTGATTAGAAATGCTTGGTCATATTACCCTAGATTCATCATAAAGAAGAAATTGTACTTCGTAGTAAAATAAAATATGATATCGACCATAATGTAGTGATTTTTTATAAGATCTTTTAATCGAACTACGCTCAGAATCGTATTTCGTTGGCTTTAAAATATCACTTAAGGTAATTTTATTTCTTTTATAACATTATTTGTTGTTATCTTTATTTTTAATGGTAAACAACTACCTAATTTTAATTTTCAAATGATAACCTATATTTATTTATTTATTTATTAATTATAAAATACGGGACAAGTCCAGTTTACATTGAGTGTTCTTATAGGTATCTAACATATATTTTATTTATAATAGACCTATGGATTGTTAGTGATAATTTAACATTTAACTCTATTACTATTATTATATCTATGACTATTACTATTTCTAAATCGCTTAGCATTTTTCTGTTTGTGTTTTATAATTAAATGGATGCGTCATTGTTTACAGTTCTCATTAGACCATTTAGGGGGGGAGTATTGAAGGAAACTAGTAGAAGAGTTGGGAATATGACATGGATCATGAAAGCGGGTTCGACGATGTGGGACTTTAAAATTGACGAAGGATAGATGATCGGGTGAATCTATTTTGCCAATAAGGAGATTTGAAAGGAGCGAAATGTTAATTTATATAATATTAAATTAAATAAATATTAAACTATATTAAGCTTTTATAAATAGATGAATAATTAGTTTTTTAATTCAATGTTTATTTTCCGTCAACTCATTGGCGATACAGTCCACTTTTAACTTCGCCTGAGGAATAGTGGTGCATCATTTGTGTGGTGGTATGATCCGCGGCATTTTAATAGTATTCCACCACTCTCCTATACTCAAACTTAACACATTGACGGACATTTGTAATATAATTTTTATTGTTATATTAGTAATACTATACCTACATCCAAAATCTATGCAAATTGTCAGTGTGGACTTCTACATTACAATCCTCTGTCTTCTATAATTTGATACCTTTAAAAAGATTACTGCTCCAGCAGTATTGGCGTAACATGAAATTTTACATATTATTGCTATAGCAGTTAAAAAATAAGCTTAATGTAGCATTTTAGAGCTACTTATTTCTTACATGATCTCGAAAATCAATCCTGAAAAAAGTAATAATTATCTTGTAAAACATTATGAATACATTCAAAACAGTCAATTATTCATAGTCTACTAAAAGCTCACTACTACGCGCTAATGAGCGTTGTGGGGCCACGGCCTCTCCCTATATTATTTTGTTTCAAGTGTTTTTCAAGTTTATACTTAAGAACAAATTTAGGACTCTGTCACTGAATATAGCTAACTCAAACACATCAGTTAACCATTTTATTATTATATGAATTTAGTAATACACTGCTGATTTGGACATATATTTATAGTACCTACATTTAAGTTAGTTACATTTACGTGAGAAACGTCTGTTAATGAATGAGTGAGAGTATGTAATCTGCATAACATGCGTCCTCTCGTTATTATGATCACAGAGATCATAATAATGTTATCACAACATAGGATCAACAAAATACAATTTTCAGTTTTCTATTTTTGTCTCTTATAATAAAATGTAACTAATTTTTGTTATTTTTAATGTATTACAGAGAACGCGTAAAGAAAAGAAAACATATTCTGAAGATTGGACTTGTGGAGAAGAGGAAGATATTGAAGGTGTCCGATCTTTTAGTGTCCAAGAAAAACTTGATTCACCAAAATATTTACATGTTAACTATGTCACACAAATGGATGGAAAAGGTATGGAATTAGGGCCATATATATATATATATAAATATACCTATATAGGTATATTTTTTTATATCATATCTCTGTTTGCAATTTTTAAAGCTTTATTTATATTTTTAGACTTTTCAATCTCTCATATACAAAGTCACGGATTTACATCACCTTTATTATTTAAGGATAAGGCTGGGCTTGGTTTACATGTTCCCAGTCATAATTTTTCTGTAAATGATGTTCGTACATGTGTTGGTAAGTAATTAATCATTATTAATATTACACAGTTATTTAATATCTATATTTTACAATTGTATTAATTGCAATAAAATAATATTATGTTAGTTTATAAATTTATAATAAGATTGGATTTTAATACATTTATATTTGTCATAAAGATTATTTATTTAATTTAGATATCTATGTACTAACAAATTTGTATTTGTTAGTTATTATTGTTATTAAACTATTTAGTAGTACTTACCTATCTGCTTTGTTAAATTTATATACAGGATGATTCACCAAGCGTGCTCACTTCATTGTTTTGGTTAAATTTTGAGTATATTCAAATTCTTGTTTTTGGAACTTATAGGTGTAGTTAAAGCCAATATATTTAAATTAGATTTTTTACAACATTTAAGGATCCTTTGGTAGTATCAACTTTTGTTTTTTTAAATGAGAACTAATATTAGAACTTCCATAAATAGATGGAGTATTACTTTAAATAAATATTGGTACCAAAGCCTTGGCAACAAAAGAAAAAATATGACTATAATATTACTCCAGTCAGAATTTTTTTTTTCCCCAACAATTTATTGCTACATACTATGTTATATTATAAACTAAATTACCATACATATGCTACTTTCCCAATTACCCACCTATTAAAGTATCTATGATCCTGCCAGTAATCAATATCTACTTTTTTTTTCTTTCAAATTTGTATCATGAATTTGAACTTTAAACATTCATAAAAACAATTTTAACTACAGATTTTTAATATTATTCTGTGGTTTTTTGGATATTTAAATATTTTATTTACATTACGAACGGTAGTTGTGAATTTTCAATATTTGTACTTATTATATTATTTATTAAGGTTCAAGAAGAATGTTAGATGTAATGGATGTTAATACACAAAAAAATTTCGAAATGACAATGAAAGAGTGGACAAAGTATTACGAAGATAAAGAGAAAGACAAATTATTAAATGTTATTTCACTTGAGTTTAGTCATACTAAACTAGAAAATTATATAAAGCGTCCAAACATTGTACGTATTGTTTTTCTGATATAATTAGTTAATCTAGAAGTTATTCCATAATATAATTTATATGTAAATATATATTTATATTTTTGTTTTTACACATAGGTTCGGGAATTGGATTGGGTTGATTGTGTTTGGCCAAAACATTTAAAAGAGAGTCAAACTGAATCGACAAATGTGATAGATGATATGATGTATCCTAAAGTTCAGAAATATTGTTTAATGTCTGTTAAAGGTTGTTACACTGATTTTCATATTGATTTTGGTGGTACATCTGTGTGGTACCATATATTAACAGGAAGCAAGGTAGAGAAATTTTATTTTTAATTCATCCGGTTATATTTCAAAGGACATTTTTACTTAGGTGTTTTGGTTAATACCTCCATCTGAAGAAAACATCAAATTCTACGAAAAATGGGTATTGTCTGGAAAACAGGGGGACATATTTTTTGGAGATACTGTTAAACAATGTGGTCGTGTATCGTTAACTGCTGGAGATACATTTTTTATACCTACTGGATGGATTCATGCTGTGTACACTCCTATGGACTCTTTGGTATTTGGAGGAAATTTTTTACATTCATTTGGTATTCAAAAACAACTTCGTATAGCAGAAGTTGAGGAAGCACTTAAGGTCAGTATAACTTCCCATGAATCATACAATCATTTGTTAATCAAAGCTAAATTTTAAAATTTTAGGTTCCTCAAAAATTTAGGTACCCGTTTTTTACTGAAATGTTATGGTATGCTTTGGAACGTTATGTGTACTGTGATTCGGGTAAATCTCATTTAACAGAAGGTTTTGAAGACCGTCCAAAACCAATTGAACATTTACATTTTACTAAACAGGTAAATTTTGAGTAATGAAGTATACAATGAAAATATTTAACATATATTCACGTTGTTTTCTTTTTCAAATTTATGTAGGAGCTTCATGGAATAAAAGCAATGGTGACTTACTTACACAATTTGCCATCACATAAAAAGAATGTTCCTCCTCTGATTAAAAGTGCTATTGACTTAATACGAGATGTTGCTTTTGTGATTAGTAAACATAAAAATGATAAACCTGAAGACGCTATTACTGGAATACCAATTCTACAAATCCAAGGCGATAAAGTATGTTGTATCTTATAAATAATATGAATACACGAGTGAAAATTATTTTATCTATTATTTTTAAAGGAAAGGGAACGGAGATTTTATAAATCTGCTGGTGATATGAATGCCAAAATAAAGACATCACGGAAAACAGGAAATGGAGGCCCTACTGGCAGTACGCCAAGAAGAAGACGTACAAGATGTAAGAAATGTGAAGCTTGCAAACAAGCAGATTGTGGACAATGTTCATTCTGTAAAGATATGGTTAAGTTCGGTGGACCTGGTCGCGCAAAACAAACATGTGTCATGCGGCAATGTTTACAGGTATATATTTATTATTTGTTATTGAGGATAAATACAAATTAATAAATTTATTTTTATTACTTTTTAGCCAATGTTGCCAATCACTGCAGCCTGTGGTATTTGTTCACTAGATGGTTGGGGTCAACAAATTGTTTTACCTCCTCAAAAAACTGCTAAAGATACTCCTAGCAACCTCATGGAGTGTAGTGTGTGCTTTGAAATTGTCCATCCTAATTGTTTATTACAGCAAGTATGTACCGAGTAATGTGATGAAATTTATTTTATTGTAATACAAATCTATATTCATTTAATTTTAATAAGTACAAACTGGTAGCCCATTGGTTACATTACAAATAAACAATTTATAAATATTAGCATAATCTATAAACAATATAACATAAATAATATAAACAGCAATACGAAAATATATAATAATTATTAGGGCTCTGAAGTTATAGGTGCTAATAAAGGAGAAATATGTACGAAAAAATTTAACTGCATGAAAAAATTTTAAATACACAAAAAAAGATAAAAATTAAATGTGATTTGCACTGTTGTTGTTAAATTAACAATAGACTAAAACAATCTACTTCTAATGTATTCTTTTTTTTTGCTGTGATGGAGACTAACTCAAACATTGGGGAGGGGGGGGTGGTTTTTTAACTGCGGTCAAATTGTGTATTACTACAAAATAATATTGAGCAATTATTTTTTATTATCAATAGGTTCATTTATTTTATTTAATATATTTATTTAATTGGTGTTGTTTTCATCCCACCTAATCTGATATTTATGTTTATAATTTTCATACAGATACTGTAAATAATTTATTAACTAAATATTATTATTCTAAAATTATTATATTAGGTGATCATAACCTTTCTTGTTTACAATGGTCAGTTGTCAACAGTTTAATTGTCCCACACTCGCATAATTTTAGTGATTTAGAAACTACCTTTTCTAAATGTATTAGCAAATTTTTCATTTAATCTACAGCTATTTAATGTACCAAAAAAATCATTAAAATTCTATACTTTAATTAATTTTATCTTTTAATTCAACTAATATTGTAGTTTTGTGTAAAAGTATCACTTTGTTACTGATTGATTATTTTTATTATCCAGCTTTAATTGTTACGTTTACTATTATATTAAATTAGTCATTATGATAAATTTGCATATGATTTTTCATGTTGTAATTTTAATACAGTAAAACCTTATTAAGAAGGAATTGCTTGGGGCTGTACAATTTCTCAGTGTCAAATTGGGTTTGCATCTTGATGGGGTTCAAAAAAAAAAATAAATAAATAAACAATAACATTTATATGTACAATTTTAAATTATCATGTAACTATTCTGTGTCGAGTGGAGTAATTTATTATTGTGATTAAAAAATATTGTTTTCAGGCTACATTTTCTAACGTGGGTTCGTATAATGAAGATTTACCAAATAGCTGGGAATGTCCTAAATGTTGTAAAGAAGGAAAAAATTTGGAAAGCAAGGTAAATTTAAATAATTATATGAAATTATGTTTTTATTAAAATTAATCTAAATTGTATTTATGTTAATTTAGCCTCGTCATTTCCGTGCTAGACAAAAGTCTTCTGACATTCGCCGGACATCTGTTAGTAGCAATGACGCAAATCCACAAAAAAGGTCCAAAGTAAGGATAATACATTACCTATTTTAACTGACTATTATTACTGAAATTTATTATTATTATTTTTAATTTTAGGAAGATGATGATGACTCCTCTGATACTGATTCTGAAAGTGACGTGGACAATAGTGCTCCCAATAAAAGACTGAAAGTTGAAAAGAAGGAAAATGTAGCTGCAGAACGTTCACCAACTTTACCTTCAACGGTAAATATATAAATTTATTATTTTTCTTATTTATCCAGCTTGTACGATATTGGTTGGTTATTAATGCTTGCACTTAACTTTTGTAAAAAAAAAAAAATAAATAACAACACTAAAAAAAAAAAATGTATAATAGCCATCAAAAGTTTGATTGTTTAAAACCATTAAGATTTATTATTAAAAACTATAATTATACTAATTATAAAATAAAAATATTGAAACATACAATTTTCTTTTTCTTCTACCTTGCCCTCTATTCCCTATTATTATTCAGGTTCAGTGGTTCTGGGTTCTTAAAAAAATGATGATTCAAATCATCATAGTTTAGAACACACCTAATAACCAATAGGTAATACCCTATAATAATATATAAGAAACGGAAATCAATTCAATTATTTTAGTACAATACAATTATATTTCTATTAAATTATATACTTACCATTCAGGACCAGCACCCATTCATTCAAATCGAGTGGTGCATTTCAACCACTTAAAGTATGTACCACTGTATGTCTGTGCCACTGTTCAGATTTGAGATCTATGTGTTTAAAAATTATGTTTTAACCTTATTTATTTAAAAACATTGACTAGTTAGTAAATTATTATTCAAACAACATTTAAAAATTAAATTTCAAATGTTTATAGGACATTTTAAATCTATGAAAATTGGATTATATTTGTAACAAAAACTATTAATTTCAGTCTATTTAGACTGAATACAATGAGTTATCATTATGGAGTGTATCTGTTCCATATATGACATTTTTTTTTTTATCATTGCACATTTTAGATTAAATTTTGGATACTACAACCTTAAATTCGAGAACAAATGGTATGGAAAATAAATAAATACACTGTATCTAATTCCCTTGTTAAAATATTTAAATATTTTAAGCGTATGCATTATCAACTATATTGTGTTATTGTCCATTTTGTGAAATGGGACCGCTGTTTACCACTTAGCGTAATTACACAATATGGATAACATTTGAAAATAGACACTTAAATTCTATACAATAGAACTTGTTCTATCGTTTGGATATCCATATAATGAAACAATAAACTATACTTTTTTTTAACAAATTTTCACAAATACATTATTATTATTATTACTACTACTAGAACTTAGGACCGATTACACTTAAAAACGGGAAAGGTGAAACTAAAATATTTAAAAAAGCAAATCTGGTTAAAAAGTTTAAAAGTCTTCCTCTAATTACTTATTAAATATAATTTTTGTAGTGTCAACACATTGTGTTAAATATTAGTTACTAGTTAAAATCGTTAGAGAGGAACTTTTAAACCCCTTTACAAGTTTTGCTTTTTTCAGGTCTTCTTTGACATTTTTAAGCGTTTGTTGTAGGTATTAAGAAGTTCTAAGCCTTATGTATTACTAAGAATACAATTTTTAAGATCTTGCTACTTCTTATAATCATTCTTTATTTAAACAAGTCTGTGGATTTATGGTGTCAAAAATTACGAAAAAAAAAGATATGTTCATGCTTAATTTTCTTATTTCTAATAGCGAAGATATTCAAAGCTTTTTGGTTATATTTATGACAAAAAAAATTGTTTAATTCGATTAGACAAAATCTCTAATCATGTATTAATTTTGTGTTAGAGTTGTGTGGTTTTTCCTAGGTTTATCAAGATAGTATAAATCGGTCTTTATAAGACTCATAAAAACAACCCACTATATATTCCATATTTTGTTTAATATTTTAATAATTATAGATTTTCAATTTTTTCAAATTGTGGAAAATGAAATTTGTTAAAAAAAAAAAAAAATAGTTTGTTATTGTTTTACTCTATAGACATCCAAATGACAGAATAAGTTCCATTTATAATTTAGATATCCATTTCACGAAATGTTTTTCATATTGTATAATTATGCAAAATGGTTCCATAGTTCCAAAATTTCACCACTCCAAAATTAGGTACCAAAAATAATATAAACATAAAATTGTAGAGCTGCTTGTTTCTAAAATTTTCTATAAAACAGATTCCAAAAAAAGTGAATACTTTCCGAGATAATTAGTGTTGAACTGTTGAATGATAAATTTCAAAAACTAATGGTTCGAAAAATAGCATGTTATAAAGTAATGATTTTTTTTATAATTAATATTAACAGTATTTTTTACGGTGACCATAGATACCCATTAAATATTTATTTTAAAATTGCTTTTGTAATTAATTGATGATATTTCTGATAAATCATTATGATTTTACTTGAATTTCGTTTAATTACATTTGGATTTATTTTATATGTAATTTGATTACCATTTAAAATGTGCATGAATCATTATGCTTGTTTTGTATTTTATTTTTTTATTTTGTATTTGGTTATTTTATGCGGATAAAATCGTTTGACCAAATTTATTATGGCTTTAGTTATACATTTTACTTAGAACTAAAACAAAAAATTAAGCCTTATGTAATCATTTTTTTTATACATATAAACATGTTTTAAATTTAATTTTTGACGCAATTAATACAAATTGGGGTATTTCAAAAACCTGTTTTACCGAACCTCATCCTGAATCATATTTCATCGGCAATGAAAACAGATAAATAAATTAAATAACTAATAAATATGCATCCTACCTTATCAACTTCATGCCTACATTAGTGCCCATCAAGTAATTAAATTATTAGCCTTCATATTTTCTTTAAAAATACATATTTATTATTTAAGTTAGTAAAATTTGAAAGTATTTGAAAGTGAATAAATGCATACAAATAGATATTATATATTTCATAATTTTTCACAGTAAAAGTGCTGATAATTGTTATCCCACAATTTACAACTGTATAGATAACAATATAATATGAATAGTTTTTATTATTTATATTTTTGAAAAATTCAATATTAGCAAGAAGGCAATTTCAAAAACTGAAGTATAGGTCTATTATCACACGTTTATTCATTTGTATCTAGTGTAAACGTGCTTTTAACGTATTCTACTTTAAATATTATACAATTACTGGCATTATATTATTGTTATATATCTAAGGCGTGTTAAACTATATAAATTATATTTTTTGACTTTTTTGAGGTGTCATATAACTCCTCTGATCAATTTGATTCGGCTCTTATTATATTTAATACATTATTTGCACATATCTTCAATCAAATTATATTATTTGATATTGTGTTCAAGACCATTAAGTATCACCTAAGAGCACATAACATGCAGAATTCAAGCAATTTATGTCAATTAGTCTTCAATCAATAATGATTATTGTACTTCACAGAGTATATAAAACTATCCAAATACTATTACTTTAAATATGTTGTTTAAATAAAAACTATGCTCTCATCACTCGTTTTGTTATAAATGACTACCTAGCAGCTGCTATTAAATTTAATATTTTATATTGTGTATTTTATTTTATTAATTTTTTGAAGTTATTCAAACAATTATTTATTTTTGTAAAAAGTATTTGAATCAACTTTTTTTTTCCTAACAATAAAAACGATAAGAATATGTGCTTATATACATGTTTGCGTGAATATCACGTCGGAAGAAACTACCTAGTGGTAATATTACCCTTTAAACAAAGAATAATAATAATAATAATTTAAAAAAAAAAAAAAAAAAAAAAACCAATTACGAAAAGACTTATAATTAAATTATAATATTACTAGAAACTACTTCTAAATTATATGAGATATAAAATCAGTAACTGTGTATTGTTACCGACTCTTAAACCCTAACCTTAACTCTTCTTACAGTGTCTACACTTTAATATTACTTATGAAAACATTATAATTTTGTGTGATTTTTGGTTTCAAATTTTTTCACTCGCCTAATAATTTATACACTAACAAAAACCCCAGAGCTTCTTTATTAACAGCATTGGTTTGTAATGTGAATTTTTTTTTTTATACCTAAATCGGCATTATTATGTGCATACAAAACGAAAAAAAAAACACTATTTGAATGTTGTTTTCCGGTTACCTAAATAAATGCAAAAATCATATTTGTTATGCTATCCAATTACTGTTTGGTTTATTTGCACGGAAAAACTGTATTTATAGTCAATTTTTTGATGTATATTTTTTTTAAACCCGGTTTGATTTTGTATTCAATCAAAGTCAGAAAACGAATCGGTAAGTTTGCTTGGATTACTATATATATATATATCAGTCATTCATCTATGAACAATGAATGGTTTTTTTTGTTATAAGATAATGATTTATTATCGAAGTTTTGTGCGTTAATGATAAACATCGTGCTTTTTAAAACCAGCGTTTTAGTGCTACAGTTTAAATGCTACTATACAGGAGGTATTGTTGTACGTTGACTTGTGTTTTTGACTTTTGTGATTTTTTCGCCTTCAAATATTTACAAATAAAGAACAAAAAAAACACTTTCGGACGATTTTAGTTTTCCCAAATAATTAATTTTTTCTTGAAGGTCGCGTGTTAGTTCATTAAATAAATAACAAAAACAAAATGCATTCCCCCCTCCCCCCCATTCAATTTTGGCATATTATCGCGTTTTATTGTTTGATATTATTCGACCACCATTTCCGCGTGCACAGAGTCCACCTCCTCCAACAGACGTTTGTCGCGTGCCCAGCATCCTGGGAGGCGACATTCTCCTCTTTTACATACATTATTATTACAAGTATACTATAAATACTATATCCATGAGAATCGAATCCAGTTAAAGATGTTTTTTTTCTAAAATAAACACAACCATTCGTTTGGTATTTTTTTTTATAGAAATGGACGGAAGATCATTCTATGAAAATGTTAAATCGTTCTGTCAATGTCGAGGAGGCTCACATGTCAACGTACAACAACACCGCCGTCACCACTTCCGTCGCGTTATCGTCCGCCGCGGAGACTCCGTCGCGCAAATCCGATTTACGCAAGCAGCTCACTAGCCAAATGGCGGGCGGCTCGGGCAAACATTGCAACGTGCTGAAAAAACAGTCGTACGTGTCGAAACCGACCAAGGGCGGCGGACAAAAGTCGCAAGGCGGCGGTCAGTCACAAGGCGGCGCCACGGTTAACGGCCACCATCATCACCACCACTCGAGCAATGACGAATACTACAACATGCCGAATTGTATGATCTCCGTGTTCAAATACTTGCCCCAGGCCGACTTGGCTCGGTGCGCGCGGGTGTGTAAGGTTTGGAACAAAATGTCTTCCGATTCATCGCTGTGGCTCCGGCTGGACGTGACTGGCAAACGGATGACGGCCACGTGCTTGAACGGCGTGTTCAAGCGGCAGCCTGAGGTGCTGCTGATGAACTGGACGGCGATCGCCAAACGGCAGTTGGAGTGGCTGATACCAAAACTGTGCCGGCTCCGTATACTGTCCCTGCAAGGCTGCTCATGGAGCGGCGTGACGGCGTTGCGCAGTTGCCCGTCGGTGCCGCCTTGCCTCACGTCACTCGACCTGAGCTACGTGACCGGCATGAGCGACGCGTCGTTGCGCGACGTCCTGGCGTCAATGGCCGACTCGTCGCGGTCGTCGTCCAACGACACTACCAACCGTTCCCGGTTCCGGAATCTCAACACTCTGAAACTGGCGGGAGTTGATCTCGGCGACGTGTCGCTCCGGTACATCGTCCAGTACGCCCCCAACCTGATCGAGTTGGACCTGGCCCAAAACTACAAGATCACGGATGCCGGCATTGCGCAGCTGACCACGCCCGACGGGAACGTTGTGTCTACGCTCCAAGTGCTCGACCTGTCCGGTTGCATGGCCATAACCGACGCGTCACTCGACCACCTGCTCAAGTGTTCGGCCCTCCGCCGGTTGGACATGAAACAAACGCCCAAAGTCACCAATTCGGGCATCGACAAGTTCCTGAAGGCCAACGATCGGTTCTCGGCCACTGAAACCCGACTGCTCATCAAGTCGCTGCCGCCCAAAAACACGGTCACTAAGGCCAGACGCGATTCTACGAGTAGCAGCAATTAGCACCTATGATTAATAAAGAGCCGTATACAGTATATACATACACACGTGTATATACGTATGTATACACATTGTAACATTTGCATCAGTTATTCCTATTTCGTATATACCAGCATATCTCGCGATCGTCGAACACGCGGAAAGACAGTGTACTTTCCTGAGTATTAAGCGCGTTCGCAAGAGTTCACCTTGCGGAACTTTGCGCCCTACCGTTAGAATTTATGTTGTTTCGACCTATATTCGTATTGTCGGTTTTTTTTTTTAAATTTCTTTTGTAATCCGCAATTTAACGGGGTTGTGTGTTTTTTTTTTTTTTTTAAAAATTCATTTGATAATTATTTTGTGTGTGCGTGTGCGTGTGCTGCATGTATTGCTGTAGGGCACAACGGGCAGAGCAGTTGTGCGAAACTCGTAAGGACAAAAACATAATAACGCCGATGTATGTTTTTTTTTACGCGTTTCCCACTGTGTTTAAAAATTGTAAAATATTGCTTCGTGTGTGTGTGTGTGTGTGTGTGTGTGTGTGTGTGTCGTGTGACCCTCGGCCCTTTGACCGTCTCGTTCGCGACAATCGATCAAAAATAAGCGAACGTCGGATTTCTCGGGCGCGCTCGCTTTTATATTCCGTTGATGTTGTTAGACGCGATCGGGCCGAAATTATTCCGTTGATATTATTAGACGCGATCGGGCCGAAAACGGAGACGGCCCTTGTTCTCTTCCGGGAACAACTGTTTACGTTTCGCATTTATTGTGATTGGGCCGTCCGCGGCCGCATGTAAGTTGGTCGTGCCCGGCGACGTCGTCTACCCGGGTCCCGAGAACACAGCTGTACATTGTTATGTCATTTAGGTGTGCGTGTACAATTTGTATTGTTATCATAAATGTATATTTCACTGACGAGACTGTCAACGACGATTGTTGCGTTTTGCTACCTACCTTCGTGATTTGCGCTACCCCATTTCCCCCCCCCCGACCCCATCCACCCATCCAACCCACTCTCCCATCCCCGCGATTCTTTTCTCTCACCGATACATCATCAAAAATTTACTCTTATTTGTATCATTATTTAAATACTATACTACTCGTAAAATAAATTAAAAATATAAGATAAAGACTGAAATTTTGTTTGTATTATCCTTAGTTTTATATTTGAATGTATTGATAATAATATTTAAACCGATAAACTATATACGCTATTACGCAATCAAACGGTTTTTTTTTTTTTTTTTTACGAAAGTTCTCAACAACAAACACAAATAAAATTCTCCGTATGTAATAAGATTGGTGTTCTTTTTTTTATTTATATATTTATATATATATATACATATACATATTTTACTTATTTGACTGTTTCCTTTATTTGATTATTATTATTATTATTATTATTATTATTATTAATTTTTTTTTTTTTGTGTTTTATTTTTTAATAAATTATTATCAATACGTGTACTCGAACTATGCCGGAAATTTTTATTACGCCGTCTCTCATTCCCACGTCGCTCACGTCACACGTCCACGTCCAATCGATATCCCGAACATCCCAATACGGTGTTCGAACGTTGTAGACTGTCCGTAGTCAGTAGTTAATTACGACGATTAAAATACAGAAAAAAAACAAAAACCATCGTAAAACGTTCAATCGGAATTTGAACGTGTGCGTACGGTGTACGTAATTATTTGTGGGTGTACGTAACCGCGCGGGGTGTATAACACGTCGGACTGCGGGCAACGTCGAACCGACCGTAGGCTGTCTAATGTTTTTGACGATCACCTCGTGTGCATTGTCGTCCCACAACGGCGCGTTCGGCTCTCGGGAAACCGATGAGATTCCGTCGGGATTCGGTAGTAGCCCCGGCGCATTTTTCGGCGATCCGACCGGCATTATTTTACGTCGCCCGCCCGAATGCGCGCGCAGCGGACAAATCTGACGGCGCAGTAGGCGGTATGGCGATAACAACACCGGCGCAAAAAGAAATCAAAAAAGTGCAGGGGATTTCGGTCGGCGGTGTCTCCGATTTTTTCGCGTCCCGTAGACGTAATTTTTTTATACGGTGCGTGGCCCTCGTCGAACGCCGTGTAACGACGGCGATTCTTGACGATTGTCGCGCGGAACGCCGGGCGCCGTTAGAATCCACGTCCAGAAGACCTCGCCCACGCGGTTTTCGCGTCAACGGTCTCCACCGGTCCTCCGGCTTTTCGACCGAGCGCGGTCGGCGTGCGGTTTCCCCCCCCCCCCCCNCCCCCTCGGCCGTACGCGAATTTCGCGTGCATTGCGAAAGTTCGAAAAATGTCCGATCGATCCGATAGCGTTTTCCCCTCCCCCTCCCCCCGTTTTCCAAACGAAACGCGCTTTATTAACTAACGCGGCAATTTATATTTTATCGAACACACGCCTATTACAATGTCGGTCGTTCAATATTCTCGCCGGCTATTATTTCGGACGGTTGCCGATCAGCGTATCCGTTCCCCCGTCTCTTAACTCCGTTAAGCGGACGCCGTGGCCCTTTTGACGACGTGCTGTCTTCGTTCATGCGACCGCGCGGCGCGGCAAAATTGTGTGTTCGACGCGTGCGCATTTCGCGCACGCTCGCTTAACAATTTAAATCGCTAACGAAAACGGGAACACGGCACAGACAATGTTCTCATCTCTAAGATCGATATTGGTGCGGTCAGTTCGCTCTAGAAACTTAAACGGCACAGGGCTGTCCGTGCCGAACGGTAATTTGGATATTGTCGCGCGACCGTATGACGGGAGACAGCACACGCGGATACGGCGTCTCCTCGTGGAGGACCTTACCCCCTCCTCCCCCCCCCCGTGCATTTGTCATGTCGTGTCCGTGGTGTAGCGAACGCGCGTTCACGCCGAACGACTTTGTACTGTTGGTTTTAATGTCTGAGCAAATCCGGCGTATCACAAAACTTATGGGTTACTTGACTTGTTATCCGCGGTGTTGTTTGCGCGTTGGTCTTCGATAGTTCTGAACGAGATCTATAAGCTTGTGAAACGAAAACGATAATTACATGGCCGCTTGTCTAGATCTCGTTCAGAAATTAAAATATCGAGATAAAAAACCCAACGGTACCGAGCGCAGAAGAACGACGGAGGCCTTGCCTTTAAGTTTTATCAGTTTTACAGGTCGATCCGCCGCTCGATTATTAATACCGACGGCACAAAAGTCGTGAACGCGAATTCGCGCCATGTCACGTGGTTGGGCGATGACAAACGCGCGGGTAACGTCCGGCTCTTGACGCCGGGCACTTATAAATATTGTGTTTCTTCTTTGGTCCGGACGGCGTTTAAACACAGCGGCCCGTTGTCCTACACCACGTCGTCGGTCACTGTATTTGTCACATCCACTGTAATTATGTTGTACGAGCGTGGGGATTTTCATTTTCGTTTTTCAGGAGTCTACGCCGGCGTCCAAACTTCAAGATCCCGCGGCGACCGCCGACGGCGCAGACGTTCCTCACGCCGACGCCGCCGATGCCGAAAATTCCGATTTGGAAAACAAAACGCCCCATAAGAAATTCGTAAGTCCTGTTGTTGTAGCAGACGTAATGCGCACGCGCGCGACCGTGCCGTTCTGTTGTCGTGTTATGATTAATAAAACGATTGATTATTTTTTTTTTTTTTTATTTTTTATTTTATTCATTTTGGCCGGCGCAGAGACGGAACCTGACGGACGATAAAAAAACCGTCAAGTCCGAACCGGGCACCAGCAGCAGCAGCAACAAAAATTCGCCGACTGCGGCCGCCGCGTCGCCGGACCACGCTGCTGACGCGACGTCCAACGACGACGAGCCCAAACGACGGCCGAAAAAAACAGCCAAGGTAAACGCGCCGCGTTCATTGCGGAAGACTTAGGCGCGCGGCGAGGCGACCACCAAACTCGTCCGCGTGAATAAAAAAACGTCCCGAAACGAGTAGAACGCGATTATAAAAAGGGCCACGGGCTTGCGCTGCGCCGCGTACGCTACGATTGCGCTACCACCACCACCACCACCCGCGCCCTGTATAGGAATCGTTCGCGTTTTTCGGAAATCGCGTGCATTATTTCGAACCGTGGCGGCCCCCGTCGTGAATCGCGTATCCCGTAAAATTGCGCGTACGGCTGTGCTTCGCGGCGACGACCGACGGAAAATTGTCGTCGTAATAGTAAATCACCCGTCTACGTGAGATGGTTCGCCGATCAACTGTAATCGAACATAAATGTGATATCGTCTGTTACCCGTGTGGTTTTCCGCTGCAGACTCCGGCGTACAATTGAAATTATTAAAATGATTTATCAGTGGCTCGGCGTGTAAAAATCCGTCGCGGCGACGGGAATTCGCCTACGATTTAGGATTGTTATGTGCAAAAGTAATACAATCGAATTGAATCTTCAAATTACTCGCGTTTGATATATAGCAGCGGTTCTTAACCTTTTGTAGAACACGGACCCCGATGAAAGATTTTTGGAAATCGCGGACCCCCTAACAATTTTTCGTCGAATACCTTTTTTTTTTTTTTACAAAACATCTCATGTTATCCTGACTGAAATTATAATAATTGTTTTATATTACAAATTATAGATACATTTTCGTATTCGTATCTTACGTAACGCAGTAATACTGAATTATTAGTTATATCGGTACTTTCAACAACTGTTCTTTAATATTTCCTTATAAACCATCAATTCGTTTTTTTTTTTATTGTATCATTTGACAATGCAATTTTATTTAAGCTATTTGCAGCTTCTTACTCTTTTCATACACGGAGCCTTTTCATCATAAACGGCAGAATTCTTCCTTTTTAAATTTAGTCAACGTTCCATTTTAAATCTTAAATGTCTTTACGATGATTTGAAAAAATACGTATTAATTCTAAATTACGTAGGTATAAAACTATAATTGAGGTACAATCGATCAACTGCACTTATTGGTAGTAAATATACGACTGCCGGCTAAAGTGCTGTACGCCTGTACAATTCGTATGAACAAAAAAAAAACTGATAAATAAATATTAATAATAAAATGAATAGATTTAGATACTTAATTGTATCGAATTCCATTGTCATCGGTGCAATAAAGATAGATAAGATAGGTTTATCTCTTACAATATTATAATCTGTCTGTTTTTTTCAGTTGGTTCTCCTTCGTATGTCCATTACAATAATTGTAAATATTGTAGAAACGCAGTGTATAAATTGAGAAAAAAAAAGATTCGCGAATTACTTAATTGATCATAAAAAATAAAAATCGAACATCCCTATGGCCTATATATTAATACCCAAGTTTAAAGGGCCAAATAATATGCAATAAAAAAAAAATTCCAGAGATATTTTCGACGTTTTTCCAATGTTAAAACATAAATATTGTAACACACAGGATCATAAGCAATACTATGTAAAAAACGTCAATTTAAAAGTATTATGTGAACATTTTAGATGTCTGTGAATTTTGTTTAAACTGAATTACATACATGAACATGTGGGTAAAATCGAACTTGCTTCTCGGTGATTTTGTGTTTACCACGCCTCTGTTGTGTATATTTTATTTTAATAATCTGTTCCTCTCTCTTTTCTGGGTTACGAGAAATTTACATAATTACGTATGATGTTTATCTAGGTCCCGGACTTCACGATTATAGACTTGATGAAAGTTTATGACCAAGGTATGGAAGACGCTGAAAAATTTTTCAAATCCGCAAATACAATTCCTGATTCCGGCGTAATGATCAAACGAGAAAAAGGGTCGCCTATACGTATAGTGAGTATTAAATGTTATAATATTTTGTGACCTTTATGATATAGTTTTTTTAAATGTAAAGGGGGGAAAAAGTTGATACTGAGAGCGTAGTTTTTGTAGTTGGGAAGTCTGAAAAGTAGGATACATAAAGTTATTTGATTTATATCTGCAAGCAACGATAGACCATTGCTATAACGAAAAACAATTTGGAGTGAAGTTGGGTTCAGGCACTGGTCCAGAGGAAAGTTCTGGGGAGAGCCTAACAATTGTTTACAATACAAATACAATTAAAATAGAATATAATATATTATTTTATTATACATATCAGTAATTGGAATATAGTAATATGAGGATCTATAGAATTATAAAAAAAAAAAAATCGGAGAGATAATATGTCCTTGGGCCCCTAGCCCCCTCCCTGGTTCGGTTATACATATTTTGAAAGGCCCTAATATTTACGGTTTTCATAAAAAATTAATTTTAAAACTTTGACCACTAAATACGACTTATAATAAACCTCCTGTAAAATTTTCAAACATTTCTGTTTAGCCTAACAATTTTATCCATAGAGTACCTACCAAATCAAAATTAGGTAAAAAAAATTATCAAAATTAAGATATCTGAAGGTAGCTCAAAAATGGCTTAATGTTTCAAAAATTTTACCACGTCTAGAAACAGCAAATATAAGTTTTTGTCCAAATTCTAAGGCTCTATGAATATTTTAAACTAAATTATATTTTTTAAAAAAAAGAGAAATTATTTTTGTAAATTTTCTCGTTTTTTCTACGTATTTTTCGATTTTGCTCAATTATTAAAAAAAATACTCAAAACAACTTTCTTAATAACTTACTTTCTTAATCACCAACTTTAAAATGCAACGAAAAAGGTTTCTTATCATTTTTAAATTGGAGCAAGATTTCTGATAGAAAACATCGCTTGCAAAATTTTAAATAATTAAACCAGAACGCCACGTTGCCGTAAATATTAACAAATTCAATTTTTTTAGTCTTACACAATTATTATGAAAACTGCTTTGGATATCAAAAACCTACTTTCTCTGTCAGTGGCTATAATATAGTAAAAGAAACAAACGGAATATTTCGCATGATAGGTGGGCCACTGTTGTCGGTGTGAAGTTAGGAAGGTAGTAGGAAAGTTAATATACATATGTAGGTATGTAAAGATTAATCGATGATAACGAAAAACGATTCTGAGCGGAGTTCGGTTATAAAGGTTAAAAAAAACTCTAATATTTACGAATTGAAAATAATACATTTCGAAAATTTTCCTATATTTTTTCCTGGTTTTCCCATTTATTAGGAAAACCCTGGGAATTTCAAAAAAATTACCTCTTATATTAATGCACCAATTAGACAAAATAATCTTTCAGAAAAGGTACTATGTTCTATACATTAGAGCAAGATTTCTTTTTGGATAGTTGTTTACAAACAGAAAAATTTTTTTTTAAAAAAAAGCGTCCATCATAGTAAAACCAATAGGTCTCTCGCTACGCTCTGAATCTAAAAGCAAATGTGAAAAAAATAAGAAGTAAATTTATTTTTCTTATTGATTTTTTATCGTTCGCCCCAATTCCTGCGTTAAACCTTCAAAATAACAACATTATTATTATGCTCGTGTTCGTAGATCGAGTACATACCGCCGGAAAAACTAGTTACCGTTACCCAGAAACCGATAAAAGTTGTTGCCACGGACATGACCATCGATGAAATCTTAAAAAATTCTAAAAGGTGCCATCACAAACCGAGATATGTAATAAGACCCGTTCCGAAGTTGGAGAAGAACAATCAAGTAAAAGTGATGGAAATGGTATTCAGATTCCTATCAAGGCAAGATATTCGAAAATGTGAACTTGTTTGTAAAGACTGGTACACGGCCGCTCTTGCTCCGGAATTGAACACTCGCATCGACCTCACGGAACAAATCATCACCAGTGACATCCTTTGGTGTGAGTATAACTATTATAGCTATATGTAGGTTAAGTTATCAGAGTCTCGCAACTTTTTTTGTTTTCCTTTATTGCCTTTGGTTTTTTTTTTATATAATATTGGAGTATATATTTTTGTTCATCAATTTAAGCCTAGTGTTACTTAATATAGTAATATCATGGTACACTGATGCATGTACAAAAGAGGGGGGGGGGGCTAGTGGTTCAAACCTTCTCCTGAAATTGCATTAAAATTATGTAGAAAGTACAGTCAAATTCGCGTATAACGATGCCGTATATAACGATATCGGTTATAACGATAATCCGGATATAGCGATGTTATTTTAAAACGAAAATTGTTTTTTATAATCACCCATAGCGATTAATAATATGCATGTGCATTGTACATTGTGTAGTAAATTTGATTTCGTCCAAATTGATAATTCTTAATCTTATCTGTAACAGATAATGTGTCTTGATCGTATTGTATACAGAATACCTATGTTTCTTAGTTGTTTAGTTTCCATTTTGATTGCTATCCGTTTAGACACGATCCGAATAAGTTAAAAATGTCAAATAAAAGAATAAATAAGTTAAAAATGTCAAATAAAAGAATAAATAAATAAACTTTTATTAAAATTTATATAAATACCTTGAATGTTAAAATATATTATCTTAAAAAAATTAAAAAGTAAAAAATCATGTTACTTTTTATGATCCGGATATAACGATCAGATTCCCTAGGTCCCTAGAAGATCGTTATAAGCGAATTTGACTGTAGATTTTTATTTGAATCTCAAAAGTGGTTTCTGTCAATGTGGAAAATAAATAAAATGTCGGTTTTATTTTAATTTTATTACTAGACGGTATTATTAGGTACGTATTGTTATTATTTTTAATTTTTTGTGGTTTTCCTGTTTTAGAAACTTATACGCTGATATGGCATAGTCTGCATTATCACTACGATAACATAAATTACGTTATCATTTAGGCTGTATTCGTTATGAAAATATTAAATGTAAAATTTAGTAACGGCTAATAGGTACCTAAAAGGTTAAAAATGAATATTATAAAATATTGACATTTTTAATGAAAAATAAATAATACTTCTATTGAAAGTATGTAAACTTCTTTGTTGTAAGAGTATACAAGTGTACCTATCCCCCCCCCCTTCGAAATAATTTTTATAAACTCACCTGATGGTATAACAATATTATAGTCGTGTTTGAATGCCTGTCATTTTAAAGCTAACTGGGTGTTCCATTATTACGATATTTCATATTGTTGATGATGCTGACAACTATTAATATTGTATCATTTGTATTAATTTTTCGGTTATAAAGCTGGTTACACACTGACCGTTGCGTACGCGATTCCGGACTCGCGCGTTGGAAGCGCGTCCGAGTTTCGAAAACGCGCAAACGATTACGAGTTAAATTTACGACTAAGACAACTGGTCATTTTAACGGTCCCTCAGAAATATAAAGCGCGCCAAATTTTATTTCAGCCATACAGTGGTTACATTCTTTGCTACACTCGGAATCTAAAATATGCATAGATAACTTTAAAAGGGATACCAGTGAAGATTTTAATAAAAAGTTATTGAAAATTTAAAATAGAAATTCCGGACAAAGTGTTAAAATTTTAAAACGACCCGAGTAGCCATCACCAAACTCCATTATTTGAATCCATTATCGTTTTGTATTTTTTTATTCTGTAGATGTTGTGAAGAGACAGCCAAAAGTTCTGATATTGGACTGGTGTAACATCACTAAGCACCTGATGGAGTGGCTGATGACCCGATTACAGTTGATCAAGGCGCTGTCTTTAGTAGGGTGTACGTTTCCTCCGGTGATGTACCTTCGGTCGTGCATTGGCCCGGTTCTAACGTCACTAAACTTGAGCTTCGTGTCCAACATGGACGACACACTTCTGCAGCATATCCTGTCCCCACCGCTGGATCACAGGCCCGGTCTGGTGGACATGGCGTCCCGGCAGTCAAAACTAAAGACGCTCAAACTGGCCGGCAGCAAAATCTCTGACAATAGCATCCAGGTCATCGTATCGGTATTGCCCCATCTGTCCATGCTCGACCTTTCGCAGTGTGACCCAATTTCAGACCAAGGAGTCGAGTTGCTTATAAAAATTGAGGGACTGTCCACGTTGCAGCTTTCTGGATGCACGGGCATCACTGAACGGGCGCTGAAGTACCTGGGCAAGTGCAAGAGCATTACATATCTCGACCTGAGACACACAAACATTTCGATAACTGCCATCAACAAGTTCGTAACTACCCTCAATGGTTTCACAGTATTAGACAACAAGCTCATTGTCAAACAGGGGAACTCCTGATACATGCTCGACACGCCTGAATGTTTAGACTTCGAATTCTGACTACCACAAATGTTATTAATTCGACGGCGAGGCGTATATTATGTGTAAATATTTATTTTTTTCTTGTATATATATTTATTTGTATAAATAGTTCAATACTGCAGTATTATTTATTAAGAACACGAAGAAACAATTCATCGTATTCCTACTTTGTATATAAAAAAAAAAAAAATGATAATACTATAGCTTAGTCAGTTTTAAAATTACTTTAAAGATATTACTAGTCTTACATAATATATTAATATTGAGTTGTTATTTTGTCAATGTTTTCTATTTAATGTCGAATACCACAGAGACATATAACAGACATCGGAATAATATTATGTCATGGAGACATTTGTAAATATTTTAATATTATCTGAATACATTATATTAAGCTTACTCTAATAACATCTTATTATATACTTAATTAATACATATACATCATATATACGTTTTTTAAAGAATATTATTGCATGTTGGCGTAATGTGTTTTATATTTATTTTAAAAAATGTTTCATTGGTTTTTTTTTTCACTTTATTTAACACATAAATATACAAAGTGAAAATAAATAATATTGCACAATATTCACAGTAATTGAACTGTTTAATTTTTTTGGTTTTTCTCCTTTCGTTCGCTCACTAAAAAATATGAAGTCCCGACACAATATTATCACAACAGGACAAATCAACATTATATTACGTCCTTAATGATAATTCCTTAACACACATCATTTTTCACACTGTGACTGCGGTCACTGTTGAAGAAGGGGAGGGGGCGTGTTTCTGGCGACTGTTGTTTTCACTGTCCTATGGAATCAATTATGTAATCCGGGTGCACGACGTTCACGTCTACGTCTGGTGACAACTGTATTGGTACTTGGTTAGGGTATTTCCTATCGTACCTCTTCATGAACCTGATCAAGTCTTCGTAGACGATATCTCGAATATCGTTCGCCCACAGAAAGTCCAAATGATTGAATTCTGGAAATGGCATAACTTTTTTTTCCACCACGTTTGGTAATTCCTTTGCAAGCACGTTGACGTCCTGAAAAATGAAAAAAAAACATCCCGGCCCGTGAGAATTTGTTCGACAATTTGTATTAAATATTAATATAACGCGACCATCATCATTACCTCCATCGTCGACAGCCAATCGTTCTGCGCATGGTATAGTGCCACGGGCACGGCGACCTGGCTTAGATCATAAGCCGGGGGTTCCGGTTGTCCATACTTTTCCATGTTTTTCTGTTGGTTGTAGTTGTACTGGCCGAACCACCGATCTTAGAAACACATTTTATACGAAAAAATTATAAAATTATTAGTATTATTATTGGTATGTTTGTCAATAGTTAGTATAATATTTATATCTATAATACACCTTTGTGACACTGTCATAAGAGTGCTTGTTTGATTCTGTAATGCTGATGTAAGTTTATTTTTAATTTCATATCATCGATGCATACTTTTCAATTACAACATAGTCTTATCGTCGTATTAAAATCTTTACGATTATAATAATAATCTATGGGTACCCGATATCACAATTGTCAAAACAATACACACGTTCACAGTGAATGTATGGTAAATTTATAATATTCGTGTTATTTTTTTCTTAATATTAAGCCCGGTCCACGCCAAAAAACAAAACATGAAACATTGTTGTCGACAAAATGTATCTGACAAAAATTAAAAACACATGTATCCAGAAGAGTGGCGGAGTAATTTGTGAACATTTATTCTTTACCGAAATGTAGTTCGAAGATGACGTTGCAATGCAGCTTGCGTAATTTTAAATTTAGAATCAAAAAAAAAAGAAATTTTGGGTTCGTCCAAGTTTTTTAACGAGAAAACAATATTGCAGTAGTTGTATCAACATTATCAACAAATTATTAAAAATAAAGACAAAATCGATAAAGCAGTTGCGTTTTGTTTAACAAACTGTGCAACAAAATTACTATTTTAGTAAGCGTGTTTGATTTAATCTCATCTGTTAATGCAAATTCGTGTGTGTAAAAATAATTCGTTTAGCGTATCGATTTACTTTACACACATTCTTTTAACATGAACAGATCATTCATCATCTTGCGGTTCCATCGAGTTCGTGTTAATGAGAGAGTACTGTTTATGACGTAGACATCCGCTAAGAAAGGATTTAAGAAAATTCATCCCTTAAATAAAAAATAAGGATTTTTAGATAATTGTTTGTTTTTCTTGGGTGCATCCCTTATTGTAGGTGGGAAATTAGGAAGGTAGGATACAGAAAGGAATTTAATGTATATCTATGACCAACAATAAACCGTTGCTCATACGAAGAAACTTTTCTGAGCGGAGTTCAGTTAATAGTGATGCTTTGTTAACAATATGTGTCATATTTCGGTAAAATATTAAATAATTAAATAGGCATTATACATTTTCTTTAAAAATATTTGTTTAATATTGATCTGATTTTCCAGTTTTTCTTACGGTTTTCCCGTGTTTTTTTTACATTTGCTGGAAAACTCTTAAGAAAATCTAAAAATTAACTGCTTAAAGTACCTTCTCAATCAGATTTTCTTTCAGAAAAAATACTATCATTGTAAATTAAGGCAAAATGAAATGACTGGTAGAAAAGCTGTTCACAGAAAAATAATTGTAATATAATTCGTACATTTTCCTGTTTTTTCTCAATTTTTTTCGATTTTTCAGAGTTGATGAGAAAAATGTTGAGAAAATCGAAAAAATTACCTCCCTAATGTACCAACTTGAAAAAATTTTCTTTCAGAAAAGGGTTTAGTAATATTAATGTTAAAATTATAATATTTACTAATAATTATACATTATTATAAATTTATATTATGTTATAATATATTTGATGGGTAATTACCGCGTTTCATGAGCTGAGCAAAATGAGTGAGTTGACGAGCCGACGCACCGGCCGGTGTGTGGGCTAAAATAATCGGCAGAATGTTCTGTAACGGTACAAAAATAAAGGTTAGGTTGTGTTAAAAAAAGTGCACGAAAGAGGGAGGGGGGACTCGGGAACGGAGCTCATTTACTGTATTCTTTTTTTAAGCGTCCCTTAATCAATTATTTCTGTTGGGATGGAGAAACTGTACGTCTTTTCGCAAACATTCTGGACTTTTTAAGTCCAGTAGTACATTTTTTTTATTTTTTTATTTTGAGCAAATTTCGTACATAGAAACTGCACAAATTATTTCGAATAGATCAAACGTTTGCGATGGTTGAATAAAAAAAAATCAAATATTTTCCGTATATTTCACTATTATTTCTAACTATTCTTAATAATACAAAATTATACGCAAACGATCCGCTAGCGGATATTTTTGTAAATTTCAATTTTAATACTGGTGCAATTATAATATTTTTGCCTCTGTAGGAAAAATAAATATGCACGATATTAGGTACTATCGTGTACAACGGTATTTTTGCATACGATTGCAGTTATTCTAATTATTGTTGTATACGAAACGGTTTCTCGTACTTTGATCAAACGTTTCGAATCGAATCCGGCGTACAGAAATAGCAAATTGTCGCAAATGCCTTCGGCGTGTGGGTTGGCCTCGCAAAACGCTTTGCCCGCGAACAGTAGAATCTTGCCATTAGGTCTGAACTCGTAGTATCCCAAACTGTTGCACAGCCACTGCAATAATAATAAGTTCAATAATTGGTTCAATGTACGAATGTACGATACAAATTAAATATTACAGGCGAAGAGTAATTTATTACTCGTTATAGGCGACCATGGGTCATAAACTTAAATAAAAATCAAAAGGTTCAAAATAATTAGTAAATTTATAGGAAGGTAGAAATAACGTTACATTATTCAAAACCCTAATTCTGCGTTTTAATGGGAAAATTCGATGGGTATATCTAATAATATACAAAATACCATATACATATTATTATATCCTAAACTTAACTTGCGTTAAATTTTTAAGCCATATTTTATCTACTTGTTTCGTATATAACATTTTTCTAGGTTTTTTTACCCGGGTATCGTGTCACGAATTATATATATATTTTTAAAAAGAGTACCTGGAGATTGAGCCACTAATATATAACACAAAATATACGAATACCTACTTGACATTTATTAATTAGAGTAGGTACCTATATAATTTTACCATTTTTTTTTTTTTTTTTTAAATATAAAATACAATACTAGATACTTACATTAAATTAGTAAAATAATTATTTTTTCTCATAGTCCAATAACATCTTAAATTTTAACGCAATCGCCCCGAGTAAAGTTTCGTGGCGTTGTAAAGGTATAGTAAATTTTAGTTACCTACCTATTATACTACTAGGAATATCCGTGTTATTACTATTTACTTGTTAATTTGTTTGATACCGCTTTGTAAAATATTCTTATTTAATGCATTGACTGGCTATTCACAATATCAAATTACCAGATTCAACGATAAAAAAACATTTAAAATAGTGAACCAATTACCGGGTTTACCTGTTATAAATGTAAAATTTTAGTGGCCCAATTATCGTATAATATTTTTAAAAAGGTTCATTGTGGCTCAATTTCCGGGCATTCAAATTTCGAATATGTCACTCTTCGACAATATTTATTCGATTTTCGAACAGGACCGAGCAAATATTATTGGGTTCTAAAATCAAACGGTTCGCAACTTCATTAATAGTAATTTCGCATCAGCACTCACCGCCAGCGGGTCGGCCACGGACGACAGGAACGTCATAATAGGACTCTTGACGTGGTTTAGGTAGGCGATCGGTGCCATGGCCGCCATTGACCGAACCTTCTCCTGGTACTCAGGTCTCTCCGAACACAACACGAAAAATATGGCCGTACCCATCGAATGCCCGACGTAGTTCAAGTCCGGTTCACCGGTCTTGTCTAATATGTAATCGATAGTGTTCGGCAAATCAATTGTGCCCATCTCATGCCAGCTATAATATTGTAAACACGGACAAGTTGATGGCAAAGATAATAATCTATCAAGAATTATAACAAACTACATCACACGTATTTTCTCCTAACCTGAAATCCCAATATTTCTCCGGATCTTTGGCCGGCAATAGTGTTACGTGGTTCCTGGAGTATGTGTTTCCTCGGGAATTGGCCAACCACACGTCGTATCCCGCGTCTGAGAGCACGAACGCTAAAATAAACGATAGTTATTGAATTTTTATTTTTGTTACGAAATATATATTATTTATAGGAGGGAATGCAACTTTTTTTTAGAGAGAAGCAGCCAAAATTTCATTTAGCTAATTAACAGTCGGTGCTTTTTTTTGCTCATAAACCAAAATATTAACTGATCGAAGAGCCATGTGGCGGTTGCAATAACCAGATATGTCTACTTTTCCAAAAATTTTTAGGACAATAATTAGTGAAAATTTTGTGAATAAAATTGTTAAACCCAACAGAAATGTTTGACAATTTAACTGGAGGTTCATTCATTATAAGTCATACTTTGTGAACTTCTCACCTACAACAGTGGCCCACCCATCATGTGAAGTATGTCCGTCTTTTTTATCATGGCTGCAGTGCTACACTAAACAGTAGTTGTCTGATGTAATTTGTTTTAATATTAGTAAGTTTATAAAGTTATGTTTATATAATTTAATAAGTTTACATTTATTAATTATTTTCTTCTAAATTGTTATTGGTTGATCTGTAAAAATTAATTATAAATTAAATTAATATTTTTAATTTTAAATAATACACGTATAGTATGTCCGATACACATGCGTTGTCCCACGTTATTAAGCTGTTCATTTATACTCATGTATTCCAATACCCGAATTTAACGTTTTCGATATCTTAACCTAACCTACTCAAGAGGATTTCAAAGAAACTCAATCCATAAAGTCCAAAAAACTGGTAATTATAACTGATTATTAGTTCATCACATATACGCTAAAACTCATTAACTCAGTCCCCGGTGGCTGCCTTATCTTACCTTTTGTATTCCGACAATGCACAATGAACAACCTAAATAAATCATCTACAAATGGAAATAATATAGACAGCCAAACAAATGTAAACAATACAAACAAAACGAATACAATAAAAACTCGTGTACAGAGTGCATCAAATGATGTTTTCGTGAACTCGCATATAAATGATTCTGATATCCGACCACTCAAAACCTAACTGAAATGCAACCTTTCCTATATAAACTATATCAAATGATTAAACGACCGAGAATAATTTTAAAAAACAAGCCCATAATCGCATCTTCAAACAGATTCTGTATACTCGACAACGAAAATGTCGAAACTAAAACCGCCAATACATTCCCGAATATGACCTCGACATGAATTCCGATCAACCGAAACCCAAAACCACCATCTATTTTTGTTCATGGAGTATCGGAGTTTTTTACATTTCATAGGGACTTTATTAAACTGGTAAACGCCGACAAATTTGTTGTCAAATCGACTGCTAATAATTTAAAAATTAAATCTTTGATTCTAACTCCTGCAGATCATTTATCAAATATCTAAAAGACACTTACACACTTACCAAGCACAAGAAGACAGATCCTTCCTAATAGTCATTCGTAATAATCACCCATAAACGCCAACAGCTGAAATTGGTTTAGCAATAATATTGCTTATACCAATGAAACCACCGATTTCTTCAATAATTGAAGAACGTTGTCCACAACGTCTCGTACGTTCTTTATAAAGCCAACAAAATAAATTCCTAATATCTTTCGTTGATCTAGAACCAGCCGAGATCAACAATGATATTTTTACATCAACTCTTTACTAAATACCAAAATAAAAAGCGTACCGTCGTACAATGCGTTAGCTGCTAAGAATATAGACACGCTAAAACATATTCCGCCCACCCTCCGAGGTGTGTAAAATGTGCAACTAACTACCAAAAATTCTGCCTGTACCAAAACTAAGGACCAACCACCAGGTGTGTGTTCATTACAAAGAAGTCTTACAACCAATTACTGTGAATGTCAATGTATTATCATATACTAATATAGACAACATATAGTCATTTAGCTCCAGTGATGTTTATTAAAAACAAAAATAACTTTTATTGTAATGAAGTTACTTTTTTAACTCAAAAGTAATATAACTTGACCAAATAAAAAGCATATACCTAACTAAAAAATAATAAGTAGTCACCAACAAAAAAAATTTAACTTAAATATTGTAACGGCAACAAGTCAACAGAGGGAAAATTTTACTCTAATGATGGAACTCTGTTCACAAGTGTTTTTTTTCTAATGCATATGTCTATTTGGCCAATCCGAATGAGTTTTAGATGGGAAACCTGTACTTTCGGCTTATCTTCTCTAGGTACGTAATTTCGCCACAATAAAGAAATCCACGCGTGATGAAACGGTGCTGTATTATACATAATACTCACCTAAACTACTGTTCTGTCCCGCGATAACCCAGTCCGTTGAACTGCACAGTATGCCGTGTTGCACCAATACGGCCGGTTTTCTCGAGACCGTCGACGGATCCTCGTTCTTGCCGTACGGTATCCTGTGCAACGTCAGGTTGTAACCATCGTCGGTAATCACGGTGTGCCTTTCCACCGAGTATCCTTCACGTCTGATGTAATCGCCCTACGCAGAAATACATAATAAGTAACGAGTAATTCAACGAGTCGTTAAAATGAGCGAGAAAATAATATACAGATTATATATATTTTAATCGGGGATTTATCGATTCCGCCGGCTATCAACTTCGTGATTAAACAGTATTAATATAAGCAGAATAAATAGGGTAGAAACCTAGAGCACTGGATTTTGTTTAATAAATTTAAATAAAACTGACTCAATAACTGACCCGCTAAGGAAAGATTTTTGAAAATACTTCAAATAAGGGACGAAAGTCAAAATGATTGGGAACAGGAGGCACTTAATTATTGGACCAAAACGTAAAACGTATGCACACACTAAACTATACGGACACTCGTGTTTTAATTACAAAACTTTACAATGTATCGAAGTCATGTACACTAAAATACGTATAAATAATTGTACAGAAATAAAATTAGAAACATTTCAAACGAAAATTACCTATTACCTATATACCTATATTTTATTTAAATAATAACTTATTACAATTTTTTCAAAATAAAATTTATAATAAAGATCTAAATATATTGTTATATTTTAACATTAAGTAGATGGCTATTTGCGACATATACGGGGTGATCAATCTATCACAAGACACTCATCATCTCGGAAAGTATTAACTGTTTCCGAAATTGATTTTCTTAAACATTTAAGAAACGAGCTACTCAAAAATTTTATATTTATGTTATTTTTTTCAACCTTATTTTTAGGGGTAAAACCACTATCTATTTTTGATTTTAAAATGGCAAACTATATTAAAAATCCCATAAATAGATGGAGTATTATTTAAAATAAATTTTAGTGTTGGAATTATTTATTTTTAAGAGTATACTATATTAAAATCCTCCAACCCAAACTTAAAAATGGAATATCTCGTCAACGGATAGACGGAAATTAAAAATTTAAACACCAACATTTATTTTAATTACTACTCATCTATTCATGAAATTTTTAATATAGGTTGCCATTTAAAAACAAAAGTAAGTAGTGGTTTTACCCTCAAAAATAAGAGTGACAAAAAATGGCATAAATATTAAATTGTAGAACAACTTGTTTTTTAAATATTCTATAAAACTAATTCCGGAAAAAGTTGATACTCTCCGAGATAACGAGTGTCTTACGATTGATTGATCACTCTGTATATACTATATTATTTAAAAGGTCAAAAAGTTTATCAATAAGTTGAATAAAAAATTGTCAACAATAAAATTGGACAGTGGTTAAAATTGATATTCGATTGACTATTATTAAATCCAGAAGAAGTATACGTGAAACTAATTAAAGCTTTATTAAAAGCGTGACAACCAAAAAAATATGGACATTGTCTTCAATGTCATCGGAACGAATAACTAACAGTTGCAGATCTTTTCATTCAAAATTTAACACATAATTCACTAAAGCGCATCCTAATATATTTTTGATTTCACATGTATTGAATGTGTATTATAACTATAAGAGACAAATAAAATTAGTAAACAAACACTATGAAATGAAAAAACAACAATTTCTAGCGACTATTTAAATACAAAAATGTATAGATTAACTTATATAAAATTGACATCGAATCATGTATAAAAAAAATGACTAAAAATCTAAAAAAAAAAACTACCGAGTGTTGTAAAATTTCTTTTGACAATTATTTAATTTAAAAAAAAAAAAGATTAATTATTAAAACTGACATTTATTATTATTATATTTATTATAATTAATATTTTATTGTTTTTCCTGTCATTCTGTAACGATACTACAATATATACGTTCTGATTTTATTCTATGTTATTATAAAACAATGCTCATATTGTTTGATCTATAGATTTGTACCTATTATCAATAAAAAAAAATTAAAAAAACATCGTTAAGTATTCATTAGTAATCTAAATTTTTATATGGGTTTGTTTGAATGTATTATTATGATTCTAAAATTTAAATAGGTCGAATAAATGTTATATATATGCAATATGTATCTACTACCCAACCAAAAATTTAAAATTAAAATACACACTGCATATTATAATACATCTTTTAGTAAATTTAAATTTTGTTTGAAACCACGGATAGATCAAGGAAGAGGTTTTAATGTGGCAGAGCCCGCAATTTTATTTCGCGACATCGTTCGCCTAGTGAAAATTTGTTAAGACGTCCGCTGCTATATCAATTCATATTGACAAACTAATCGTCACGAATTCCCGATTTTTCGATTAGAGTTAACATAAAAATCCGCCACCCGGTTAGGTATCTAAATCCTACAAATCTCCGATATTATATTATTATGTGCAAAATTTGCTCAAGACAATAATACGCGGTCGATAACTGGGACTGTTGATGTTTTTTTGCGCACTGCACATCCCATATAAATATTAAAATAGTATGCATTTCATTATTATATTATTACATTAGAACAATATCGTGACGACCTTGGCGTATATCATTGTAGATCTATGAACGAACAAAATATTGTTACTTTCGCAGTCTCCGTCTATGTCGGAATTGTTTTATTTTTCGTCCGATTCTACGACTCCGGGAAACCTGCAGAGTATAATTCACACGTAATTTATCGTTATTTTGTTTAAGTCCTTCGCGTGTATCAATTTCGTGTACATACCTTTGTATAAATTAATTTAACACTCTCAACGGGTCGGGGTCGGAAGTCCGTGCGACCCAAATATATTGGACGGACAAGGTTGTCCCGGCTATAAGTCGGCCGTGAGAAGCCTGTAGACATTTCGGTTTTTAGGCACATTTTATCTATCTAACTGTTTTTACCTTACGCAAACTTCTGATGTGTGTAGTTGTACACGCGTGCTGCGGTGTTATATTATTATTATAACGACGACCATGTGAACTTTCGAAACGTCGCAATATTATTGTTATTGTGTTTTTCTGTATTGTTATCATTATTATAATTTTTTTTTTTTTTGTATAATACACGCAGGCAGTGTAGTTTTTTTTTTTTATTAAATTGTTTCTTTATTATTCGGCGGACAACGTGAATCCGCCAACCGCCGTTACCATAATCGTACCTATTTATTATTATTATAGGTACCTATATGATATCATTTTCGACAATACCGCCGCGTGATCGTCATTATATTATTATTATTATTGTAGTAATTCATATATATTTATACGGTGACACTTGCAGTGCGTATAGTGCATTAGTGCGGCGAACCCGTCAATTAAAATTAATAATATTGTGAAGAAAAATGTTTTATGGTGATATAACGGACGGCGTGGAGTCGACCGACGAACGGATAAAATAGATACTTTTGCGTCATTTTAAAACACGTTTGTCGATTATCGGTGCAGTAATTATTAATATTACAACACGCGGACGATGAGCGAAAGTCACACGAGCGAAGTAAAATCAAAAAAAAAACTATATCAACCAATATTGTGTAGGTACACTTTATGTTATACAAAATCCAACAACGCGGATTTATTCGGCCAATTGACTTTAGTTTATCTGGTTTTTTTTATATCTTCTGTCCTCAGGAAATATAAACTATGTTCTCTGGACCAAACGAGCACAAACTCACAAACGGATTTAAGTGATGTCATTTTGGTTGAATTTCACCATGTTGCGGGAGAAGGGTATTTTTAAAGCTTTGTACACCCTTACAGATACTCATAATTAAGCTAGAGAGATGACATTTTGTGTTATTAGTACCAAGGATGTGTCTTTTGACTTTCGACTTTCAACTCTCACTCTTACCATTTTTATAAAAAATTGTGTCATTTTTTTTTTTAAGGACGTATACCATTACAATTTGGTAGTATAACGATAAATTGTACTATAGCGTTATAGTGGTGTGTTACGTTATAATAGTAATCTCGGTTTTTTTTATGGTTTTTCTAAGTTCTATAATAAAAAAATAGACGTAGGAAAGTCGTCTCTAATGAGGGATAGTAGCTGCTTCCGGGGTTTTTTTTTTTTTTATAAATTTATATATGATATCGATTTGTTCTATACTAGATTATTTTATTTATTTTAGCTGATGTCCCTTTCGTATAAAAATAGATGTTCTTCGTGTGACCAGGCAAAAGACCTTTTTTTTTGGCTATTCGTAACCCCGTGCGTACGCCCACGCCTGTGCAATACATTGAGAAACCAACTTACAAGCTAACCTAACCTAACCTTTTTAAAGAACGTAATATAATAGTGGTGAATTGAAAAGAGTGGCCCATCGCCGGATCATTAAACCAATCTAAGGTTTAAAAAAAAAAAAAATTGATTTTGCCACTCGGGTATAGGTTTAGGCGGTCAAGTTAAATTTGCCCCCGAAGATACGGTACAATATTACAATAGCCGTACTGGTATCTCTATGGTTGCGGTAGGTAAATAAATTATTATTTATCAAACCCCGTTTTGTAATAATATTGTAAATATTATTCTGTTCTGTCGTAATAATATTATTATCGACGTATGGATACCGATAATATAATAATTGCAGGCGATCAAATTAATAATCAGTGGTGTTGTACTATACGCGTCGTTATAAATTATAATTATTACAATATTATACCATCGAAATGTAATTCTATTATATCGTATCGGAACGACACGGTTTAAAACTGCAGTGTTTCCGCTAAAGCTGGGCAAATATTATCAAAATTTGATAATTTAATTATATCTGTATTTCTATAACTTGTTAAACTAAAACCTAACTCACCCTAACCGATAAAATAACATGGAGTCAGTTTTTTTTTTTTAACTATACGAATTCTCTAACGAAAATTCTACTGTCTAGAAACATAATTGAAACATAACTCGCAGAATTCCGGGGAATTTCCGTCTGGGAGATCAATAGGAATATAACTCCCGTTTTTCGTTGTAAGTCTGAGTCCTTAAGACCAGACTTAGTATTTATTTTTTTTTTTTTTTTATTTGGGTATGTATATACTTATAGTTTTTATGGTATTATAAATGTATTTATGTAGTAACTAACCGATCGAATTTTTTTAAGTTAGGCACAAAAAATACTAATTTTTCATCTAGATTTTAACTTTATAACTATATGTACATATAGTGACCAAATTTGTTAATTGCGCTTGTCTCTGCACTTCTAGTAGGTAATAAATATTTATCATCGTCGCTCTTCTTCTTTTTTTTTTTATGGTTTTATGATTGGCTGGCTGGCTGCAGATTTCCATCACATGCTTCTCTGCCGAACCTCAAATCATCATTCTGCAACTGTCGTTAAATATCCAATCTCGCGTCCTTCAGAATTGCCGCCACACTCGTCTCGACTGTAACCTTTAACCTAACCTATTTTATTTTTTTTTTTATTCTCTTTGTATACGCTATTTTACAAAGTGTATTTTTACTTGAGCGAATCCGTCGTCTGCCACAGCCCGACAGCCGCCAATAACTACAATAATAATATTGAATTGCACGACCCCAACCTAATAATTATCGGTTTACGCTCGATTTACGTTTCGACGGCCTCCTAACCTAATCTATAGCCTAACCTACGGGTCTCCAGACGTCATCGTCGCACAGTTTTTGCCTTTTTGGGTCGCGTGTCGTCTATCGACTATTGAAAACAAAAGACAACGAAATACACACGGTCGGTCGGTCGGTGTACCTATAACGTTTTCCACAGACCGCGTCGTGTTTTGTTTTTACCCAACACGCGTTAATTATTTCCGTTCCGCTGACGTACTTATATAATAACAATAATAATAATATTGCAACAAAGTGCGAGTAACCGCGAATAAGTCTCGCGGTTTCGCGCCGGTATTTTTAGGTACACCTTGTGTGTTTCTCATTACAGGTTCAAGAATATGTTATATTACAGAGAACGGATAGATTCCCCACCAAAAAAAAGGAAGAGAGGAGAAAAAAAGAATGTCGTGTGCACGGCGTCTTGTCTTCTGTGTTAAATTTAATAGTATAATATTAATTTTTTATTATTATTCTCTCGTGTGTATTACTGACGGCCGCCGATCGTTTTGGTGAGTTCCCACACTTAATTATAAGTGCATCTACAGAAAACAGGGCTGGGTAAACGGGAACCCTCGTTATAGTAAAAATAATAAATAGCTGATACTGGGAACGGGTCTAGTACTGTTGTAGATGTTTTAAAAGACCGCAATATGTTCGTCAAAATGTAATATTTAAATTATTATAAAAAAAAAATATTACATTATTCTCGATTTTTTTTTTTTTTTTATCACCAATTACGACTTATAATAAACCTCTTATTAAATTTTCAAGCATTTCTATTAATTCTAACTATTTTATTCACAGAGTACCTTTCTACCAAATACAAATTACATAAAAAAACTCGCAAAATTAAAGTTTTCCCTCGCTACACTCCGAATCTAAAAGTATCAAAATACGTTCAATCTAATTTTGCTCAGAATCATTTATTATTAGTAATCGTGTATTTTTGCCATCGAATATAAATTAAATTACCGTATACATAGTATATCATACCTTCCCAGTTTCCCACCTAAAACAACAGTGGCACATCCATACGGTACGAAGTATTTGCGTTTTTTTTTTTCGTTTTACTTTTTTAAGATAATTAGATAGGAACATCAATATTTCCCGTTTTCTAAATCCACCCTGTATCATAATCAATGAACTCCGTCCAGAATCGATTTTCGTTAGCAAAGATTAATCGTTGCATGCAGATATTCATTAAATTCCCCCTCTACCTTCCAACTTCTCACCTACACAACAGTGGCACATCCATCGTGTGAGTAACGTTTTTTAATTTTTAAAGTTTTAAATATGATATGAGATTATTAAAATCTAGACGACTTATACAATTCGGGGCAGGAGCTAATATTCGCACAGAGTAGCGGATGAAGCCGCCCCTTAATTACACACATATACATTATAATGTATAGTTGCCCGTAGATATATACAATACTTCATTGAGTAATCGCTTGTATACGGTTAACACTGGTAACCGTCACGTTAGCCATGCAGTAACCGCGATAACCGTGTACGTAGGCATAATAATGTTATTAAAATTGTTGTTATAATACACTCGTTTTCCTTAACGTCGCTAGTCGAAGAGACTCGACGTGCCAAGGTTGGCGGGCGGTAATGACCAGTTAACGATAATATTAATAATACGAGTAATAAATATATTGTGTATGTATAAGTAGGACATTTATTTATAAGCACTTGTGCGTTTTTATTTTGTCCACACCGTAGCTCTAATAATATAAGTCAATACCGAAATGTGTGTTTCGTAATAAATCGACGATCGATACCGTAAAAAGAAAAAACGAGTTTTTCTTCTATTCTAGACGACTATTAATAATAATATTAGCGTTTTGACTGCAATGATTCTATAGAATGACCGACATTAATACAATTTATTATTATTATTTTTTTTTTTTTACGGATATTCATTTTAATATATACACATACATATATCCGCTGTAAAACTACGAACATTCGAACAATATAATATGTATCGACCAATTAAACTAACCGATAATAGTGATAAGAAACTACTGTCGATTTAATATTGAAAATTTGAATAAGCGTGCGCAATAAGTAATTTGTCATCACTTAACAGATAATGTATTTATTTAGTATTTATTAAAAAAATTATACCGGTCGGTCCGATACACAAATCGGCAAATCAGAGGTGTATTTTAACAAATAAACGAACAACTCGTTCGGTATAACAACACCCACACGTTGACGGTGCAGGAATAATAAAAATATCGACGACAAACTGGTCGGTAGGTGGTTTGATATCTAATAATAAATGAAACAGTAAATCTGTCGATTATTCATTATAGGTTCAATTGAGAAATCGGATATTGTCCCCGCGTTCTACCTGTAGTAATATTATTTTAGTTGCCCTTGATTGACTAATTTAACCAAGTCAGATCAATTTCAAATTAGTGTTTGTTCACCAATAATTCAGTTTACTAGAATAGAATATCTTGAAAATCGAAAATGAGATCGAAACTCAATTTCAGCGTATTTCGACACAGTATATATAACATTTTTAATTCGTATAGGCTTTTGCTTAAGTAACACAAGGCACTTTTTAATATTTGTTTTATTGTTGCTATTTTTATATAATTTTAATATAGACAACAATGTTATAGGATTATACATTTTTAATTTTAGATTGAGTGGAGCGAAGAGCTTAAGGTTTTACAATGAAGTTTTTTTTTTCTATAGACAACTTTTCTACCAGAGATCTTGCTCCGATTTTTAAGTGTAGCGCATTTTCTGAAAAGAAATCGATGTGAGGAGGTACTTCAAGGAAGTCATTTTTCGATCTTCTCAAGAGTTTTCTCAACAAATGTAAAAACCCGAAAAATAAACATGGGAAAACCGGGAAAATCGGTACATTAAACATATATTGTCAAAGAAAATATACAATGCCTATTTTATTATTTTACGATAATATGACATATTATATATTGTTGACAAAGCACCATTATCAACTGAACTCTGCTCAGAATTGTTTTCACGTTAGCAATGGTTTATCGTTGCTTACAGGTATACATTAAATTACTTATAGCAGTGGCTGCAGCCAACCCCGTTATCCAAGAAACCTTTTTTAGTGATGTGGTTTGTGAAGAAAATCGCTGATAGTGCAGAATGATAATTGCTCTTTGATAATATGTTGATAATTTAGGCTAATGATAACAAATCTGACGAAAAAAAGTGTCCCTCGGCTATCAATCCGATATCCTGTCAGACGAGTAAAAATGTTTCATAAGGAGCACACAGTAAGTTACCCCAGGGTCTATAATAAACTGGTGAGCAAATGTAATCAGCACAGCCGGTACGCAACAGATATTATGTGAACCAGTCAGCTGTTTCGTTTCGAAGACAATAATAGTAAATTCTTTCTTATCTCGTTTATTTGCCGTTCAGCCGTCTTACATAATACGACGTGTGGGTAGATAGGTACCGTTAATATTTTGTAAAGGCAATAAAGCACCCAGTAAGTTATAATATTAATATTTGTTCGCAGTGAAATGTCCAAAAAGTCGTTTGGATTGTAAAGTGCGGCAGACTACGCGTTCCAATGAACCTAAGGAGTACCGACAAAAAGTACGTAAGTGTTTATCGTGTATTTTCTTTATTCTATAATATACTTATTGCTCGTACAACTGCAGTGAATATTATTACGCATTAAATCTACGGAAATATAAGTCGTCGAAAGATGCATGTTTTTTAAAAATGCATCTTCAAAATCGGTGCCGTCAGTCTTTGGTTTCCGTTCCTATGGATCAAGAGTTTTATTGAACAATACGGGCACCAAACCGAGTGTAAGGAACTAGTTTTTTCCCCGTACGTTTCTGTACGAAAATAATGAAACCCGCGACAGTTAGTCGGTAATATTTCGACCGAATAATAAAAATTGAATTTGTTAATTTATGAGTCGCCTCACATATACCTACTATTTTTCACACGATACAAAACCCATGACTGAATTCGGCTTTCTGATTGGCTACACGGTCAATCATAACTGCTATTATGCAAATGTTTACAGTGTCAAATTTATTATAAACGCCCTGGATTGATTGGGTATTTTTACGCGTGAGAAACTTGCGGTGCCCGGATTCGAACCCGAAAGGCTGACACTATTTTTTTACGAAAATTTCATTCGACGGATTTTTTACCCGACGTGGTTTTGCACAACAAATCGAGGAAAATTTTCGTAAAAAATCGTTTAAAATCTTTATTTTTTCTCTCTACTTCATACTTGTAATAATATTAAAATATCAAATTGTTTGTCATCATAATGTACTGTATACACCCGATCAGAGGGGCAGATTCAATCATAGGTTTTATTTCGTGTGCAGAATGGTAATATACGAGTCGCCTCGGTGACACGGATGAAAAACACACATTCGTTGTTAGTTAATTTGGTTGTCGTGGGTATGAAAACCCCTTTTTAAAAATAAATCGATGGGCAACAGTTCACTATATTATGAGATAGAAGGGGGGGGGGAGTAGACACGAGAAGTCGCGGAGAAATACGTTTTCTTTTGGCTTTTTGTTTTCGTTAAACACCGACGCGGACAAAGCCGTGCGGGATAACTATAGTTATATTAGTATAGATTTGAAGTATGTAGTAAGGAGCGTCCGACGATTTATAACTATAAATGACGGACGCTCCCTGCTAGCACTTGATAAATGTATTTTTTTGTTTTCAATTTAGTTATTTGCGTATTGTGTTCATTTCCTGTGTGTGTAAACTGTACAATTTGTACCGAAAAATAAAAATAATTCATTGAAGGTTATTGAAATTATTTATTATATTAACTGCGTGGTTGCATACTGTGTTCGTCATTAAATTAGGTATATTAAATTCAGAGTCGTATACACGAATTTTGAAACTGGTGGAATAGACGGTATGGAGAGGGAGGAGGACGAACGATAGCCTAGCTGATATTATAGCAGTTTTTCGTTATTTTTTTTTCCAGTCGAAACCAAAAACACAACAATTAATCAAACAATATAATATTACGAAATCTTAATTAGATTTAACATTGTAAAGAATATTTAATTTGTAAGATACATAAGACAAAAAGAGGCGATGGAATGAATCAAATTCTCATATTCTCCCTACCCGCGTGTATACGCCTCGGTTAAAATTATGTCGTTACAATATTATTGTCTGCATTGAGTCATTTATAATACATTGTGGTTGTCAGTAGATTTTATAACACCATTTTATAGGCATGCGTAATTATGTGATAGTCAATCGCGGATAATTTATTACGATCCGACACTGTATAGTAATATATAAACGTAGGTACATGTACAATTTATTTATTTATAACAAAGTCCGTTATGATATATTGGCTGAATATTCAGAGATGAGGGTGCTAATAGAGGTGGGGTAGCTTAGTCCACCCAAAATCAACTAGAGTCCCCTAACATTAAGTTGTTGTTTTGCATAACAAACCAGTCTACATTAATACAATTAATACATATTAGGAATATTTTAGATAACAGCCAAAAAAGTATATCAATTATTCGGCCTGTAATTGAATGTTGTTGTATATCCTAGGAGTATTTTACCGGGAGGGGGGTGGATTTTTTTTGATTGGTTCACGGAAGAAAATTCAAAATATTGTACTTTTTGCTGTAATTCGGTTATAAATACACGTAGAGACTTGAAACTTGGTAATAATACTTACTTTTTTTAATAAGCGTTTTGAAATCAAATTTAAATGAAAATCCCAAAAAAAAATTACGGCACTTCAAATTATATTGTATTACCGAACTGCGCTCGGAATCGTCTTTCGTCAGCAATAGTTTATCGTTGCTTACAAATATAAATTAAATAACCTTATGTATCCTACCTTGCCAACTTCTCACTTACAAAAATGGTCGCTCCCATAGGCTTAGCATCAGCTCTTTTTTATAGATTGTTTTGATAATTTATTAATAATACCCGTTCACTTTACTATTACTCGTCCACTTTAATTTAAGTACACATTGGAGAACTGTACATTTGTATAACGAACCTAAATAGTCAAAAGGCGTAAGTTACACTTTTAACAGAAATTAACTTTTTATAGTTTTTAGGTATATACTAACTTTTTGACGAAAAAAGTTAATATTATATCATAATATTTAGAAAAATCAGCTTTAACATCGATAAAATGATGTAATGGAACAATTATTAAGTTAACGCTTCTTACGGTCTTTTGGCTTTTGCCTATATTATTAAGGCTTAATATTTTGTCTTGGAAGAAGTAACGAATATTATTGATGTATTGTTCAACAACTAATGTTCAAAAAATTAAATAAAGAATAGATTATCTGTATAGTACTTTGTTTCAAATACTTAGACAAAGACAACGTATAGTTACTATATTATTATATGAACACAATAAAATCGCACACGGTCGAGTTTTTGGGAGCTTTTATTACAGTGTTTTTGTCTTACCGTTGTGAACAACAATGAAGTTTCGTCGGAGTACCTGCCGTTGCCGGGCCAAGTAGACTGCACTTGGAGCTTGTCGTGAATCGATCTCCAGTGGTTCATTACGGGGTTCACGGTGGACGCGAGGAAGTGCCTTTGATGGCGGGCGAGCTGTTCGCCAACCTGCGCCGCGGCAGCGGTCGGCTGTCGCCACTGCCTGCGGGGCAGATGAACGCCGCCGGTCAACAGACGGCGGCGGTAGTTGGTGCGACCGTCGACACGCCGCCACTGTTGGTACGGCGGCGTTCGGCGGGCGGCCAACGCGCGCGGCGCGTCCCGTTCGGCGGCCGCGAACCGCACCATCGCCAACAGGAGCACCAGCAGCGGCGTGGTCGGCGCGGCCGTCGCGAGAAGCGGTGCCGCGAGCATCGGGGGAAAAAAAAAATCGAAAATCAGAAACGCCACTTGTCGCGTCACAATAATAATAATACCGTGAGTACTCGTAATTTAACGCGCGCGGTTTCCGGTCGTTGTCACGACAAAGTCTCGCGATTTGACGGCTGTTGCGGGTGTCGTGACGGCGGTGGCGGACTCGTAGCCCGACGAATGGAAACGACGATAGGTCATATTTTTTTTTTTTCTATATGTTCGCCGGCTCTCCGCGACCGGTGCACCACCCGTTGGAGTCGACGACACGTGGCGAACTACCGCAGCCGTGGCGACACGGGGACCGCGCGCGTAAAAACGCCGCGCCGTTATTAACGTCGAATCGGGTATTTCGCGTTTGTCGTCGCCGCCGCGTGGTAGTGGTTTTCGTTTCTTTTACTCTTTTCTGGAACCTACCGGCCGCCGCTGTGACCTTGCCGGTCTCCGAAAAATATATTATCGCGCCGCGCGCGAGACACACATAAACCAAATGCATAATAACGCCTAAACCTACTCCCGTATGCACGCGAAATGTTATTATTACCACTGCAACGAGTTATTGAATTAAAAATAATAAATACCGACGCTCATCCTTTCACTAAGACTGGCCGGCGCTCGGGTCGGCTTGCAAAACGTATATGTGCAACTCTGCCGCGGTAGTGCAACCGTCGTTGTCGTCGTCGTCGTCGCGCGGTGCCGCAAACTCGTATTAAACACGCGGTCGCACGAGTCGCGCGATTTTATTTTCGAATAATATTCTTAATAATGCACAGTGGCGGCGAGAAGTATTTTTACCTTGAATCACCGATTTAATTCTCCACCCGCCCACCCGAACCAGCCCTAAAATCCTCTCGCTCTACCACAATTGTATTGAAATTTATTAAATTTCAATAAAGTTCGTCGAATTTATCAAATTTACGTCGTCCAAAATTCTTTTAATGATTTTAAATGTTTTGTAAACACATAAAAATTTCAATTATATTCTGAACATCCAGACATCCACGACCTACCCATCCGTCTTTTTGTGAATCGCGTGATTCAAATATACCTCTAGATATCACTCACAGCTTATCACTACAACGGTCATGTGACAATACGATATTCTCTGATTGACCCGCGTTCAAATTCCGTAAGGAATCAAGCAAGGAAAATTGGACGTCATGTTCTATAACTGTTCTATACTAATTACTTAGCCATTACGCCACCCATCAAAGCTCCCATCAAGCAATCCACAGCAAAACAGTTGTCGTCTGCTTGAGTCGACGTTGAAATTCTTAAGGTGTTATAATTGATACCTCAGGGTTGTATCCAGGAATTTTTTTCGGGAAGGTCTGACCAGTTGTATTGCAGTATAATGCGAATTGATAAGTGTTTATTTATTTATATTAAAAACTAGTTGACAAGCCCAAAATAACAAGTAAAAATAATAATAATAATCTAAATTAGGGTCTAAGTTAGCAGCTCGCATAAGGCAAGGAATAGGAAAGTCGATTGACAGAGTAGTCAGAAGAAGAATGCAGAATGATAAAAGTCTGAAAATAGCGAGTATGACGGAGTGAAATTTTAAAAGAGAGTTGAGATAATAGATAAGGAAAATCTATTTTGCCAGAAATTAAATTAGGGACGAAAATGAGGTTGCAAATGTATCTGCGATCAACAAGGCTATATCGTAAATCGTCTTGCTTAATAATTATCTACGCGTAAATCTCGGATGGTGAAATGGTAGGAGAGTAATATTGACGTGGGTGGGGTATATTAAAGCGAAAGGTGACTAGATACGTTGGACACGCTCGATTGACGTTTTGCCATAGGTCGTAGAAAGTTCTCAAAGGATGGAACCGTATTCTAGTAAAGGCTAAATAGGATAAGAAAAGAAGGATTTAAAAAAAAAAAATGTATTTAGATTTAAGATTTTCTGAAATTTTGGCAGGGGGAGCCACTCACTACAGCTATCTCAGCTTTCCAGGATACTCCACTGTAATACCTATAAAATAATTTCATTATTTTAAATCTGTCGAATATTGCTCTCGTGAAAGTATGAAAGTAATTTATCACAGTTTCGTATAGTTTTGTATTTTTCGTTTCTTTTATTTAGCCGGTTATTAGTCAACTATTAATATCCTAAAAATAATTATAAAAAAAAATATAAGTATATGTATATATTTCGGGGTGGGCAATAATTGTTCTCATTACCTCTCCTCCGTTTGCAGCCACTGACCTACATTCAATCATTTAATATCGATTCGGTAATTTGGCCTTGATTTTTTTTTTTTTTTTTTTGTTTTAAATAGCAATTCCGTGATACCCAATTAATAGAAATAATTAGAGTAAATAGCCGTGTCTCGTAAAAATAAAAATGTCCAAGTCTAAAATTTAAGCGTTAACAGTCTGAGTCTCCGTTATAGGCACAACTAAGGTAAAAATTTTGGGGGCTATATTTGCTTGAATTTGAAAATATAATGTTGTATTATATTACTGTAGTCATAAAAACAAATACCAAAAATTATTATAAAATATTAATATATTTAACTATATTTGTCGTAAATGGGGGACTATTTGGAAAACTGGAGAGACTTAGCTCCCCGAGCCCTCCTAGTTGCATCTATAGCGCCCGTATAACAAAATTGTAAACTTAAAATAAAAATCCGGTTTCGTGGCGATGTTATCCGATTCCTGATCTTCGTGTACCATACAGATAGGATATGGCCAATCTATATACCCATATAGTTATTTGATATATAGGAAAAGTCCGTTTAAAATTTAAAAAAAAATACCTTTTATGAAATATCTTAATAATAATAATAGTTAATAATTTAGAATTTAGACAGACCGTTGAACGCCTTTTGAAAATAGTATGGCAATTTACTGGCAGTGCATTAGAAATTAAATTTTAAAAGGCGCTAAGCTTCGAGCGTTCATTTTAATTTATTTACGTACCTATATATACGGAGTGAAACACGAAGATCTGTCACTTGAAATAACTTTTGTTGTATTGAATATGTCATTTTTTTTTAAAAAAAAAAATTGGTATGCCTCTACACTACAGTTTATATGTGAATATTTTTTTTTTATGGAGAGGTACCTAACTTAAAATAAAAAAATTTTACTTTTTTTTTTTAAAAAATATTCAGAATAGCCATTCAGTAAAATAGATTTTTAGTGATTGAAATATCACGGTTTATAATTTATTATAAAATTTAATCAGTAGTCAGTAGTATTGTTATACGATATTAACTTACAGAAAAGGAATTCCTTTTCATTTGATGTACTCTAACTGATTATGGTTTTTCGTTACGTTCAGAATACTCGTAATATATTCAATAGTTATTTTGAATTCGAATTTATTTCTTCTATACCTATTAAATTAGTCGGAGTAGAATGTTTGGTGAGAATGGTGAGATCACTTAAGTACCACTCAATGCGCTAATATATTATTATATAATTTAAATCGGGTCAATTATAATTGTACGCAGTGATATACTATCTACACCTACGTCGAATAAATTATATAATAATAATTTGAAAATAAGTAATAAAATAACAGTCATTATAAAACCGATCGACTTTGACACCATATTCGTCTATACCTACATTGTAATTTTTAATAATTCCCGGGAAAATCTGAATGCGTGCATCTTTTTTTTTAAATTTATGTGTTTATAATATATTATAATATTATATTATTATATTGAATATACTGTAGCATTAAATGCAAATATTATGTTCGTTTGTTTACCGTCTGTCAACAGTGTTGAATAATTCAACGATATTATGATAATTATTATCATTTTTCACTGTGTAAAGTATAATAATTATTATTAATTCGTAAACATATTATGCAACGCATTTTTATTATATTATAGTACAAAGTTAAAAACAAATAATAATTGACCGAGAAATTGGCGAAAAAATTCAACAAAATATGTTAACAAACTAACTTTCAAAAACCGTTATTAAACGTATGCCATTAGATATTTAAACGTATATGACAATATTTTGAAAAAGTTTCATTCAATGGCTATTTTTTAAATACTATTGATTAAATATTAATTAATAGTTAAATTTATAAAAAAAAAAAAAAACTACTTGTTAACGAGTCGAATATTTAGAGAATTGTAAAACACGCTAAAATGTTTCATCTACCTATTCTTTTCGTTTGTATTACACAAATACATTTTTACTATATTGTCCGTTAGAAAGACGTTAAAATGTCACTGTGAAGGTCTTTTAATTCCAATAACTATTAAGAAATACATTATAATATATAGACGTCCCGACCGAAGTACGTAATTTTTTAATTAAAAAAAAAAACGACAGATACAATCAAATTAATTATAGTTTTGACCGTTGAAAGAAAAAAGTACAATATAAGCTATAGGATCGCTAATATTATCTATGATAAATCCAAGGAAGATTTAATACAGATATCTAACAATATTTTATTGATCGGTGAAGGACGTGTGTACTTGTCTATACACGAATAGAATGTGCTCGATTGAGTTTTGACTTTTAGCTGCAAATATAATAAGTACCTATATTATAGTTAGATTTTTTAATCGAGAAGCTTAGCGAGAGATCAATTGGTTTTACTGTCATGTGTGCTTTTTTTTTACATATATATGTATATTTTTATTGTGTTTATGAACAACTTTTCTACCAAAAATCTTGCTCCGCAGTATCACATGTAGCATCTTTTTTGAAAGATAATTTTATCTAGTTGATGCATAAAACAGGTCATTTTTTGATTTTTCAAGCTTTTTTAATAATTGAGAAAAAACGTAGGAAATACGTCAAGTGTACGATATTATTTGGATTTTGCATTGTTTTTCAGCTAAAAATTACTATAGAGATCTGGAGTTTTCACAAAATACTTATATTGGCCTTTTGTAAACTTAGTGAAATTTGAAAAATATTCCGACTATTTTTAGGCTATTTATAGGTATTTGATATTAAAACTATATGATTTAAGAGAAATGCTTTAAAATTTTACACAATAAGTACAT